ACACCGTCGCCCGAACACCGTAGCCCGCACACCGTCGCCCGAACACCGTAGCCCGAAAACCGTCGCCCGCACACCGTCGCCCGAACACCGTAGCCCGCACACCGTCGCCCGCACACCGTCGCCCGAACACCGTCGCCCGCACACCGTCGCCCGAACACCGTCGCCCGCACACCGTCGCCCGAACACCGTCGCCCGCACACCGTCGCCCGAACACCGTAGCCCGAAAACCGTCGCCCGCACACCGTCGCCCGAACACCGTAGCCCGCACACCGTCGCCCGCACACCGTCTCCCGAACACCGTCGCCCGCACACCGTCGCCCGAACACCGTCGCCCGCACACCGTCGCCCGAACACCGTCGCCCGCACACCGTCGCCCGAACACCGTAGCCCGCACACCGTCGCCCGAACACCGTAGCCCGCACACCGTCGCCCGAACATCGTCGCCCGCACACCGTCGCCCGAACACCGTCGCCCGCACACCGTCGCCCGAACACCGTCGCCCGCACACCGTCGCCCGAACACCGTCGCCCGCACACCGTAGCTCGAATACCGTCACCCGCAAACCGTAGCTCGAATACCGTAGCCCGCACACCGTCGCTCGAACACCGTAGCCCGCACACCGTCGCTCGAATACCGTAACATGTAACCCGCCAAACGTAAACGGTAACCCGTCACGCGACTGCCATCAGGTGTTAGAGCCTTGTCGTGGCTTGGCAGCTTGTGTATCTCGATGACCCCAAGAACTATACCAGCGGGAGTGTAAACTCCTGGTAGGTTCAACCAAGCTGGGAAGATTTTCGCGGGTAGGGATCAGACCAAAGCTAGCACACTGGTCCTCCAGGTTGGGGGTTGAAGTATAAGGTCAACAACCTTATCTCGTAAAAAAAAATAATTGCTATAGAAACTGCAAGAACACAAAGCCATTTACTCGAGCGTTAAACTTTAAACGTAAAATGTTAAATCTGAAATGTCAAACCTAAAATCTAAAACCTAAAACTTAAAGCGTAACCCGTAAATTGCAAAAACCATAACCAGTAACATGTAATCCGTAACCCAAAACCTTTAAACGTAACCCCTAACCTGCAACTCGTAAACCCGTAAAATGGAATCAGTAAACCAAATAGTAACCCGTTTATTGTAACCTGATACCCGTAACCGCAACCATGCTACCTGTAAACCGGAAACAGTAATCAGTAACCTATAACGCGTAACATTCAACCTGTAACCTGTAAACCAGAAAAAGTAAACCATAAATTGTAATCAGTAATCTGTAACACGCAAACTTTAAGCCTAAAACTTAAAGAATAACCCGTACATTGCAAAAAACCGCAACCTGCAACCTATAACCGGGTAACCGGAAACAGTAAACCATAAACTGTTTTCAGTAATCTGTAATCTGTAACCTGCAACCCGTAACCCGTAAAATGTAAAACCTGAAACCTAAAACTTAAAGCGTAACCCGTAAATTACAAAAGCAGTAACCTGTAACCGGCAATCTGCATCCTGTAAACTAGAAAAAGTAAACCGTAATTGGTAATCCGTAATCTGTACATCGTAAGCCGTACATCGTAACCCGTAATCGGTAACATGTAACTTGAAAACCGTAACCGTCAAAACGTAACCTGTAACCCGTAACTTGCAAACCGAAACTCGAATACCATAACCGTTAACCGTCAAACCGTAAAAATTAACCCGAAAAATTGTAACTGTCATACCGTAATTCGTAAACCATCAACCTTAACCCGTAACCGTACACCCGTAAACACGTAACTCGAAAACAGAGTTTCTTCCAGGCATCTCTTCGGGGGGAGGCAAAGCCCCCCCCCCCCCCCCCCCCCGAAAAATTTTTACCGCCCCCCCCCCCCCCCCCGAACGAAATGAAATTTATATAATTTATATAGAAAATATATACTTTTAACAGTGTCCGCCCCCCCGAAGAAAGTTTACCGCCCCCCCCCCCCCCGGAGAAAAAAGTCTGGAAGAAACACTGCTCGAAAACCGTAGCCGTCAAACCGCAACCCGTAACCCATATCCCGCAAAACGTAACCCGTTTAGCGTCACCCGTAACCCGCTTAACCTAACCAAAAAAGCGTAACAGTCATACCGTAACACCTAACCCATAATACGTAATCCGTAACCCGTATCTCAGAAACCGTAATCTCCAAACAATAACGGTAACCGGTAATACGTAATCCGTACACCGTAACTCGTACATTGTAACCCGTAACCTGTAACCCGCAAACCCTAACTCGTAACCACGCAAACAGTAATCCGTGATCGGTAACCCGAAAAACCGTAACTGTCAAACCAACATATAATGTGAGGGCTGTCATATGTTTTAACATGATGTGTTTGGGCTGTCATATAATGTGTTATGTATTAGATTGTCATATATTGTGTTAACATTGTTAGGGCTTTGATGTGATGTGTTAACATGTGTTTACACATTTCAGTACATAATTAGGACGTCATTACACATCCCTGCATATAATTAGAACGTCATTACACATTACAGCATACAATTAGGACGTAATTAAAACTCACAGCATTCAATTAGAACGTCATTAAACATTCCAGCATACAATAAGAACGTTATTACACATCCCAGGAGAAATGTAATACGTAATTACACATTCCACTATAACATTAGGACGCCATTACACATCCCAGCATACAATTAGGACGCCATTACACATCCCAGCATACAATTAGGACGTCATTACACATCCCAGCATACAATTAGGACCTCATTACACATTCCAGCATGTAAGTAGGACGTCATTCCATATTCTAGCACATAATTAGGACGTCATTACACATTCCAGCTTACAATCAGGATGTCATTACACATCCCAGAAGGAAATTAGGACGTCGTCATACATTTGCCACTTCTTAGGGATATCTTTCTTGAGAACCTAGAGGAAGACTTGGTTCAGTCGGAACTAGATTCTATATTATGTTATTGTGAGTGGTCCTGTGTGGACTACTGATGTAGTGAGTTGCCCTGAAGTGGACTACTTCTAGACTGTTAATATTTTTTTATTCATGCTTTGTATATACCCTTTTTGTTTCTTTCATTGTTGGCTTAATGATGTTTTGTACCTACCCTTTTGTTTTTATTATCCTTCTCATTTGTGCAATTATCTTTTCAGATTTGTTGTTGTCCTATAGGATGTTTTGTCGCTTTTCGTTTTTTTTTTAAATTGGTTCCATTTTTTAAAATAAATTTTATAAACTGTTTGGTTTTTTGTTTTATTTTAGTTAAGGCTAAGGTTAGTATTTTAACCTGATAGTTTAAATTTAAGCCTAGGGATGTAGATTAAGCACCCTCTCCCCATTAAGGGTTTACATCTATTTTAGAATTTAAAAAAAAAACATTTGAGTGGTGTTAAATTCATTTATATTAGTTTAAATTAAGGTATCTGATTTATCCTAGTTCGGTTAAGGACATGGGCGGGTGTACTTTTCGTCATAAATCCACTAAATCATCGATTTCCCACTTTTACTTGATCTATACAGAATAACCATCGTTGAATCTAAAAATGACATTATGACCTTAAAAACAGTATTTATTTATGAAAAACCGGGTTCAATGTAGTGTGTACAGGGTCTTTTGTTTATTTTTTTTGTAAAAATAGCAAGTTTTCGACCTAGAAAAGTACTATTAGGCTTCGCGGAAACCTAATGTGTTTCATATCAATGGAAAGGCCGTGACCTCCTTTCTTTATTTGTTCTAAAATTAAATGACCAATCAAAATACCTATTTTAATGTGATTATTTTTCTACGTCATAAAGTTGTTTATTTTACTCAGTCGGGTTTTTCCGGTATGCAAATTTTTTACCTCAATTTTTTCATTGGCATACAACTGCGGAAGCTAGTTAGCGATTGGTCGTTTCGCTTCGGAAGTAAACATTCCCTTAGTTTCAGCGCGTTGCTAAGTTTGATCTAGTTTCTCTAAGCTTCTGTGAAATACTTACATTATTTTAATATATAATTATTTCAATTAAATATACTATTAACAGTTTAGACTAGTTTGTGTGAATTATCATAAGCAGAGAGACGATTTAATTTGTTTCTCTTTCGATAATGGGTAGAACAAAACACTCGCTAAAAATAGATACACACATCTAACTAATTTACTAAAGCTAGAGCACGTCCGAATGCAACTGATTGCAGCTACCTCTACTCAATCTAGCACTATTCAGACAAGCACTGGTGCAGATGTAATTTACTAAGAAACTGCGGCAATGTAAGACAGTTTTTACAGACAGAAGAAAGCACTGTTACATCTAGTACTGGTAGTGCTAATTGTAAACCACAGCCATGCAGAATTATTGTCGACTGTGATTTGCTTCTTGATGTAATCAATATATTTCCTCGCCCACTGTGATGTAGTGACTACTATTGATGAAAAAAGTGTAAAGGGTTTGCTTCAAGCATGGTGTGGCAGTAATAAAAATGTTGAAAACCGTAAGTATACAACTGCAAAAGAATCCAGAACAAGGCCTTTCACAATAAACAAAGACATTGTCTTATCATAATTGGCTTTAGACATGAGACCATGCAAAATATACTGCTGTTTCTGCGATAGCATAATTTAATTTTGGGCCCAGGCATGCTATGGCATTGCTGTCAAAAGAAGGAAACCATAGTCGAAGACCCAGTGAAGGACGCCAAAAAAGACGCCATGACAACAGCTTTACTACAGCTCTAGGTAAAACAAACAGCGCCAGAAAAAAAGAAAACTAACTGCTGAACAAGCTCAGAAGGAATATATTCAGCAGCACCATACTTCAGGCTATAAATGTGGTCGATTTTAGTGACATACAGCGATAAATTTTCATTTTTTGCAACTTTTTGTTAGTTTTTTGCGTTTTTCTCAGTTTGATGTTTTTTTGTACAATTGTTGAAATAACTTTGTTAAACAAATTAAATTAAAATCACAGTAGAGAAACACGAAGATGTTAAAAAATGTATAGAAATGTTTTAGACAATAATGTCAAATTTGAAATATTTATTTCAATATGACCAGTTCCAGTGCATTGCCACGATCACATCAAGGCATGTCGTAGTATTTAACAAAGATGGCAAACATGTCAGCTATACCCACATCGCCAGTGGTCCAGTTTTCTGCCTGATTCTGTCTGGCGTATTTGAAGACTGGAAATGTGCTGGTTGTCTCCCAGTCACAACTGTAACTGCTTCCAGCTATATCTATAGCGACGAACCAACCTTTGTCATTGGGACATCCATTGTAAATGCTGTTGACAAAGAAGGTTCTCTGTACTGCTTTTACTGGTATATACCCTTCAATTGAGAAGAAGTTAGTGACGTCTGTCTTAATTTGGTTCCACGTAGAAAACTTGACCCTAGCCTTGTTGAACCAGTCCATGTAGGTTGATCCTGAGCCGTCAAACAAAATTTCTTTGACTTTTGTGTAGTTAGAGTACACGATGAAGGCGACTTTCTCTACACGATCCCAGCTGTCGAACACTTCTTTGTTTCTGTAGTGGTTGGAGCAGGGCAGTGGCTCTGTCACCTGTAGAAGATACACTGCTTAACATAATGTAGCCGTGCGAGTTAGGAAAAATTTCGAAATTAAAAATTTGCTTCGTTGCAGCAAAAGATTTGAAATACTGAAAGATGTTTTATTTTAACTATTCTATCCTCGACGATACCACATTTAAACGTAATTAATTTTCAAAGAAGTAACGAAGTTTGAACTAGGTCTTGATTCGACAAATTTCATATACACATCAACGACCTTATATAATAATTTAATACATGTAAATGATTAACAAGGTGTAATTTCTGAGCCTTTTTTTTTCTTACCTGTTTACATCCCGGCTCTACTTCACTTGGTATCCCAGTACCGTTCCGATAGGCGGCAAAAACAGATTTTCCTACGTTAGCTGTGCCACGAAACGCGAGTGTCCATTCTTCTCCTGAAGCTAATTTGGCCTAAAATTATCATACAACTTCAGTTCAATTAATAAAATACACTCTTATTCAATGAGATTGTGTCTTTGTCAGCCTAATCAAAATACATACAGCTATGCCTCAAATATAATTGCATTTGTATGTGAGCGGCTGGGGTGTATTTTTATTATTTGTAACTTAGAAGGCGAATGTATCGTTTCGTTTCATGTCGTAAATTGTTCGTCGTTTTAGTTGTGTTGTCCCGTATTATGGCGCCGCTGTCTCACTGTTTATGTCCCTGGTTATAGCTAGTTTATATATATTTCCTTTATATTGTTGTCATTGTTTATATTTAGTGTCTTTTTATAATATTCTGTTGCATGTTTCGTCGTGTTTGGTTTGTTATCCGTGAATTAGGGACTATTTGTTTACGAGTAGTGTGTGAGGTGTGTGGAAGTCGGTTTCCGGCTTGTTCAACTCTGTCTTTTGTGTGGAAAGCAGCGGTGAAGAGAGCAGGCAGTCTCTCTGGTCATCCAGTGAAAAGAATAGCAAATTCGCACCATCCAGCCTTATTTATTTTGTGTTTGTGTTCGTCGTAGTCCTGGACGAAGTCCGAAATTGGGTGTTTTGTTTGATGTAAAAAGTTTGTTTCGTTCGGTTCTGTTTTGTGTCAGTTTATCTATTCTTTTTTTTAACTTTTGGGTTCCATATTTTGTTGAATAAATCTATATTAGTCATTCTTGATAAATAAATTTTATTAACTGTAAAAGTTTTTTTGTTTTATTTTAGTAGCTTATTATTTAGACTAAGGTTAGGGTTTAACCACTGTGGGTTCTACCACGGTTGCACTGACCGGACAGATTAGTTAGTTAAGCCTAGAAGGGTAGATATTAGGTATCCCCCCCTAGCAGGGCTTACAAATTGGTAGCACGAGTGGGGTCAGTGCTTTAGTCTAGGTAAATTTTTGTCTTTTTTTGATAGGGCTAGGTGTAGCTTAGTTTAATTTTTGTTCTTGATAGGCCCTTTATGGAACCATTTGTGTTTAGTTTTTGTTTAGTGTAGGAACCGTTTGTTGTTTAAAACACCCAATTCGGACGAGATGGCAGAGGTGGCACCAACCATCATCATCGTTCCACCCAGGGAGATCCTCATCAGGAAGTTTCATGGGGACAGCCATGGCTATGAGGTGGACCGGTTCATCAAAGAGGTCCAGTCCCTCTGGAGGGCCAGGGGAAACCTCTCAGTAGAAGAGAGGAAGGACCTCCTCTGGCAGTACCTGGGGGAAGCGGTGAGAGACGAGCTGAGCTGCAGGGGTGATGACCTGCAGCATGACCCAGAAGCCACCCTCAGGCTCCTCAGAGAGGTGTACGGCGAGAAGAGGAGAGTACCGCAGCTCATGGCCCAGTTTCAGATGGTTGTACAGGGCCAACACGAGTCGGTGAGGGCCTACTCGCACCGACTGCACAGGGCCTTCAAGACCCTGGTTACGAGGCAGAGTGCCCTGCAGGTCCCACAGACTGATGCAGGGTTTCTTCGAGACCAGTTTGTGGAAAACCTGAGCCAGGCCACAGTCAGACGCCATCTGCACGAGCTGATTTTCCGGGACCCCAAGATCCCCTTCCTGGCCATACGTGATGCGGCCATTCGATGGTCTGGAGACGAGGACCCTCTTGCTGAACCTGCCTACGTGGCAGCAATAAATGCCAGGCCCATTGAAAAATGTTCGTTCAGGTCCAAGCTGGAGGACAAAGTCAACAGGCTCACAGAGCAGCTTGCTGCTCTGCTGAAGCACTTTACGCGGGACCCCAAATTTTCCAATGTGCGCCAAGCACCTCGCAAGCGCACGGAGGTCCAATCAAAGGGCTGCTTTAACTGTCACCAGAGGGGTCACCTCGCCCGTCATTGCCATAGGGCAAAGAAATATGTGCCCAAAGGGAATCAAGTGACACCGAAGGTATGGCGAGGGGACAAGGTCCTCCGCCCCCGCGAAAGGACTCTGGTGCCTGCCAAGGGTGTACCAACCATTCAGGCGACGGAAGGAGACTCCAGAATGAAGGACGACAAGGTGGTACAGCCATTAGACCAACCTTTTCACCCAGATCCGTCAGTGGTATCAGGCCCAACATCCTGCCTACGCGCCAGCATAACCAGTGTAAAGGTGGACCAATCTGAGGAACTAGAGGCAATGGTTCCACCTAACCCATCCTTAATTAAGGCACCAGGTGGTGGTGCTGGGGCATGCCCCCAGACAGAGTCAAGCAAGAAGGACAAACAGGTCAAAATGGCACCTGTAGCTGAACTGGCCATAGGCGACCTGGTCCTTCTGAGACAACCCCCACTAGGCAGACGCAAAATGGCAGACCTGGACGGCCCGACAGTTTATGTCGTGGTCGAATTACCTCCGATCACCGGCGGGTGTTACGCCATTAAAAAGAAAGATGGCCCTTCTGGCACCCGCCGGGTGGCCAGCACACAGATTAGGAGATATGTGCCTCCCAAGGCTCAACCACCCTCCCCAAGGCCGGTCAAAGTGATACCGCCGGCTACTCCAGGCTACAGCCACATAATTTATAAGGTCCAATTGCCGGGGACCAGAGCAGCCGGTAACCCCACAGTACCTGACATACCTCTGCGTAGGTCGGTCAGGGAGCGCAGAGTCCCTAGTAGGCTAGACTTGTGATTGTGCCCTGTGGGCTGATTTTTTTGACAATGTTTTTTTGTAAAATTTATGATTGTGCCCTGTGGGCTGATTTTTTTGCAAGTTCTTTTGCAAAGTTTTTTGTTTTTTTGTAACATATATGATTATGCCCTGTGGGCTGATTGTCTGGCAAAGATTGTTTTTTTGTAAAATTTATGATTGTGCCCGGAGGGCTGATTTTTTTTGCAAGTTCTTCCTGCAAAGTTTTGTTTTTTTGTAACATTATGATTATGCCCTGTGGGCTGTTTTTTTCAAGTTTGTTAGCTTGCGGTGACCGCAAGCTTTAAGGGGCGTGTATGTGAGCGGCTGGGGTGTATTTTTATTATTTGTAACTTAGAAGGCGAATGTATCGTTTCGTTTCATGTCGTAAATTGTTCGTCGTTTTAGTTGTGTTGTCCCGTATTATGGCGCCGCTGTCTCACTGTTTATGTCCCTGGTTATAGCTAGTTTATATATATTTCCTTTATATTGTTGTCATTGTTTATATTAAGTGTCTTTTTATAATATTCTGTTGCATGTTTCGTCGTGTTTGGTTTGTTATCCGTGAATTAGGGACTATTTGTTTACGAGTAGTGTGTGAGGTGTGTGGAAGTCGGTTTCCGGCTTGTTCAACTCTGTCTTTTGTGTGGAAAGCAGCGGTGAAGAGAGCAGGCAGTCTCTCTGGTCATCCAGTGAAAAGAATAGCAAATTCGCACCATCCAGCCTTATTTATTTTGTGTTTGTGTTCGTCGTAGTCCTGGACGAAGTCCGAAATTGGGTGTTTTGTTTGATGTAAAAAGTTTATTTCGTTCGGTTCTGTTTTGTGTCAGTTTATCTATTCTTTTTTTTAACTTTTGGGTTCCATATTTTGTTGAATAAATCTATATTAGTCATTCTTGATAAATAAATTTTATTAACTGTAAAAGTTTTTTTGTTTTATTTTAGTAGCTTATTATTTAGACTAAGGTTAGGGTTTAACCACTGTGGGTTCTACCACGGTTGCACTGACCGGACAGATTAGTTAGTTAAGCCTAGAAGGGTAGATATTAGGTATCCCCCCCTAGCAGGGCTTACATGTATAGACAAATTTCATTAAAAAAAACGTTTTAATAACAAGCTTGTATGTACTAATGCACTAAAAAGTAGAAAATAAATTATACACTACTATTTAAATAACTATAAAGAAAAGCGTGGGTCTCTTCCTAAACATTAATAAAGGTATCCAATAGGTACTTAAGTGACCCACGCTTTTCTTTATAGTTATTTAAATAGTAGTGTATAATTTATTTTCTACTTTTTAGTGCATTATTACATAAAAGCTTGTTATTAAAACGTTTTAAATGATTTTTTACAAGCTTTTAATTACATTTTTTGCAGTATTAGGACCTATTGTGAAGCAAGCTATAATAAAATGATTTATTCGGTACAGCATACTAATTTTTTTATCTCTTAAAATTTCGGCAAATAGTATCGCCTTCTACCTATCCGCCCCGACCCTATACTATTTTACTGATCGAATAGCGATACAAGAGTCCGTGATATTTATTTCTCTATAATACAGTTATCCAGGCAAGATGTTAGGCAGTCAAGTAAAAGAATCTGACCTCTCACCTTAAGTCTCGAGTTCGAATCCGGCTTCAGTAGACCGTCCCTGAGTCCACCCAACTCTGATTGGTACCTAACTCACGTTAGGGAAAGTAAAGGCTGCTGGGCATAGTGCTGGCCACACTATCTCTTCATATGCCGAGGTCACAGAAACAAGTGAACTCTACTTCACTTTCCCTTTAGACCATTCAGGTTTGAATGGGAAACTTAGTAAACATAATTTAATTACATTTTAAATATATTATCTGTAAAATAATTATTATTTTATCACGATAAGATACGGAAATAATTAATGCATTTGAATAAAATAGAGATTTATTACATTATTTTTTTACCTCTATGTTTTGAAATTTTGTTGCCAGGTGGTTGATTCTGTCATTTAGCTTTGCCAGTAATGGTAGCAAATCAAAATAGGACGAATCGTCGGAATGCGACCCTATGCGAACAAAGTGGTAAAACCAAAGGATTGAACAAAAAACTAAAAATAAACACACCCTTAAGTCTCGTCAGATCACCACTCCCTAAATAAGAGTAAGCGTAACCTATTCAGTATCATAGCTGGGTGGGTCTGGACTTCCGTTATCCAGTTGATAACTTTGGTCGTATAGTTAAGCATTTATAAACGATTTTAATAGTATAAAGTTTACATCTATCTGACATCATGACAACAACGATACAAGCGAGAGACTGAGTTTACCTTTGCAAAGAAGAAAGTCCGCAAAGATCACGACCAGGAATCTCAACAGCTTCATGGTGAATGTCCTTGTCTTGTATCTCCCCTCTACTACATAGCCAGCTGTTTCGGACACTATTGAAACTCGATGGCTGTTTAAATTCATAAATAATTAATTACTGTTTCTAATTAACCACTTTAGATGAATCTATAACTAATTAGACGAAAGTGGATTGTTTGCACAAATCAATTTATCGGCGATGGTGACCGTAAGTCTTTTGGCTTGAGTAATTTCTTAACACTGTTGCATCAAGTAATTGTTTCGTATATGTTGCTTTATTTTTGGAATGCTTATTGTTGTGATTGTGAATGTTTATCATTTTATTACGTTGTATGTGATAGTTTATAATTTCCTTTTACTTTTGTCATAACGGAATGTGTTGTGTAATTTTCCACCACACTATCTAGAACATAGCCATTTATTCCATACTATTCATTCTTGATTTTGAAAATATCAATCTTTTTATATACGTATTTGCTTGACAAAAAGAAATGAAACAAAAATAAAAGTATTTACTTCAATCTGCACTGTTGTACGCTATTCATCCATTTCGCAAAACCATTTGTTTCTTTTGATCAGCACTTCTTAAAGTATTAATTACAAGAACATGTAATGAAAGTACAGTTACGCTGTTTTACTTTTCCTATTTAGTAAATCAAAACGGAGAAAATCAGAGAAGTGTATCGACATATGAATTTCCCAATGCGCTATCGTACGTCCCAACTTTTTGTCTTTAAATATACAATAATATGATTTTTCTTTGCAAGTCAGCACTGGACTTTGGTGAGATGCTCAATGACAATACTTCTATGTATGTATTAGAGGACATTGTACACACTTGAAAGCCAGCAACAAATTCGTGCCCATTCACTTGTCAACTGGGCAAAAAATGAACAAAATGCGGCTTCATCCCGGTAAAAATCAAAGCAATGCCTATCAATACACAAGAAGAACGTCACTTTCTTCTATCCATTTCAGAACATACTACTGTAGAAAAAAGATCATCGAAATAAGATCAGCTACAAATCCCGAGGGTTAGTTATTGCTCACACAAGATCTTACCTCATAAAATATATTTATCTGAACGTTACTTTCCAGATAGCAAGGTCTTAACGTACTCTTAAATATAAAATAATATAGGTCTGCTACGATGCATACACTTAGTCAAGCATATATTATGTTTCATTAATCTAGAGCGACGGATTCATAACCAAACTGCGTCCTCTCTTAATAAAAATAAATTGAGCCTTTAGACGGGTGCCTGGATTAAGTAGTAGATTCTTCCATTAAAACTAAGGATTTATAAAAAGTTAAAAATAAACCCCACCGAATGACTTTTGTATATTAGAATATTTCACAAGCAAGCCGCGTTTTACTTTCTGACCTATTTTCTTTCAACACAAAACAAAATAGTAGTCTTGCTATACTCAAGCCATTTAAATGTTTTTTTTTGTTTTTTTCTAAAGACATAACTTCACTTATTCTGCTAAACATTTATGGAGAAATTCTTTTACTATAAGATACTCATGACAGTAAATATATTCCAAACAAAAAAAAAAAAGATTTAGTGACCTCCGAAAGAGGGTTTTTACAATGTTATTCATAATATTACTACTTCTACTGCTACTTTTACAATTACTACTACAACTATTATTATTCCTCAACACAATGTAATAATTATAATAAATATCATTACTGTCGTGACATCAGCTATCACGAAGTTGTCTTTCGCTTTACCATGGCGCCAGTCTCTAATAAAATGACGTCTCATCTATTTAAAATGGTAATTTTTAAAAATAATTTGTGTGGTGTTAAATTTATTCACATTTGTTTTTGTTTTAATCGAGCTTTCTGATTTATACTAGTTTGGTTAAACAAAATCAAAACAGGAGAATCAACAGCAACACAAGATGTTAACACATCTATAGAAATGTAATAGACAATCGTTAAACTTTTACAGATTTATTTTAGTCTGAAAAATGTAGGGCATTAACCTCACGATATCAAGGCATGTCGTGGTATTTAACAAAGATCGCAAACATGTCAGCTATACCCACATCGCCAGTGTTCCAGTTTTCTGCCTGATTCTGTCTGGCGTATTTGAAGACTGGAAATGTGCTGGTTTTCTCCCAGTCACAAAAGCCTCCAGCTCTATCTATAGCGACGAACCAACCTTTGTCATTTGGACATCCATCGTAAATGCTGTTGACGAAGAAGGTTCTCATCAATGCAACACCTGGCACTATTTGCCCTTCAATTGAGAAGAAGTTAGTGACGTCTGTTTTAATTTGGTTCCATGTAGAAAACTTGACCCTAGTCTTGTCGAACCAGTCCATGTAGGTTGATCTTGAGCCGTCAAACAAAATTTCATGAACTTTTTTGTAATCGGAGTATACAATGAAGGCGACTTTCTCTACACGGTCCCAGTTGTCGAACACTTCTTTGTTTCTGTAGTGGTTGGTGCAGGGCAGTGGCTCTGTCACCTGTAGAAGATAGACTATTTAACATTCTATGGGAGTGAGTGTTGAAAAAACATTGTCTAAAATAGTTATTTGCTTCGTCGCGGTAAAATATCTGAAATTTTATTTGGGATTTTGCGATCCACGACCGTTATATTTTTTGCGATTTAAGTTTTAAAGTGTGTCGATCATGACGTTATTTTTTTATCAGGTTTGCTTTTCTAAATTTTTTAAAATTTTGTGTTAACGGACAATAAGTATTTTAATTGTGGAAAAACAATCGTCGGTTTACACCTTCCTTAGTCGAAATAGCCGTTTTGCAAAATTTATGTATATATACATGAATGTTTGTGTGCCAGATAACTTCATAAATAATAATTCGATCCAATATATCTATAATATAAGCGGCTAGGTAGTGTGCCATTCATTCCGCCAGTCATCACTATAGATTTTGAAACAATAGTAAAACATTACATGTCGTGTGTTTTACTTACATTGCAGTGCCTTATTATACGTAACAGAGTAGGGTTTGTTTAAACAACTACATAAATTTATTGTATGGTGGCCATAGTTTTAACACATTTTAATAACATGAAAAAATAATAAATACACGCACGTTGCTAAAACGTATTCAACGGATGAATGTCAGATATCATTTTTTGTTTAGATTACTAGAAAAAGTGGATACATTTCTATAACAGTAGGGTCGAAAAAACTAATTAGTTAAAATCTTTTAATAGTTATGTCAGGGGAGGTAATTTGAAAATAAATTCAACTCACGCTAATAAAAAAAATGTGAATGCAAAATCTCCAAGAGGGAATTATTGTTGGAATAATAAAATTAGCAAAATGTGAACGCAAAATCTGCAGACGTGTATGAGGACATTATTGTTGGAATATTGTAATTGACATGGATTGATAAAAGGCAATCTTTCATTTATTTTATTCACTGAACGTACTGTTTACTTATTATAATTTTTAATCAACTATTCTGCACTATTATACACGTGTCATCACGTTCATAAGATGCGCAATGGTTTTAGTCCTGTAACTCTATTTTACATTTTAAAAATTTTAAGTACTGAAAGAAAAAATGCATGTGTTGATAAAGTGCAATATGGTAGGTAAAACACGTATATTTTAAACACTGCCTTTTATTTATTTTCTATCTTTCTGTTTGCGGACAAGCTGGGGTTTTTATAGTCGCTCGGACAGGGTGCGATTTGGCGCCACGGACTGGACTGTGAGCACTATGCGTTTATGTTTGCATTTAAGTTGCGTTTATGTTATGAGTGTTGTGTTTGTGTTTTCGTTTGAGTTTTTTTGCGTTTACATTTGTGTTTGTGTATTCATTTGTGTTTTTATTTTGTTTGTTTTTTCTTTTGTGTTTGTGTGTTGCGTTTGTGTTTTCGTTTTCGTTTGTTTGCATTGTGTTTGTTGGCATTGTGTTTGTGTTTTCTGCTGCGTTTGTGTTGTGTTTGTGTTTTCTTTTATGTTTATGTTTGCGTTGTGTTTGCGTTGTGTTTGTGTTGTGTTTAGTTTTGTTCTGTTTACAAGTTGGGACATTTAAAAAAGATTTACCGTGGAGGAGCACGGGTAAGAAGCTAGTACATCTTTAACACTTTAGAGATTTCTGGTTACTGAAAGTTCAACTTTAAACTGTTTTTATGGGAACTTGAATACCATTTTAGTTAGGTGCACGAAAATTCATACTTATCTATCAAATCATATTCCTGGATTTCTTTCAACTCTTTAGAGTACTATGTTTTATGGTTTGATGATTTTATATCATGTTCTCATAAAGCAGCATAATTAAAGAACATTTTGTCACTGTTCATTTTCTTAATAAATGAGGCAATTTGTCATAAATTTATTTATCATTTCTATCGCCCGATTCTACAGGAAATGATCCCTATCTTTTCCGTCATATACGAATATACGAGAAAATTCAGGGGAACTTACTTAATTTTAATTACAAACGATTCTTTATGTTTGAAAAAGGGCATTTTTCACTTAAACAAAGTACTTGATTCTATGAATACCCTATAAAATATCAACGATCAAATATAATAAATCAATACATATAAATGATTAACAAGGTGTAGGTTATATTTTCTAACCTGTTTACATCCCGGCTCCACTTCACTCGGTATCCCAGTGCCGTCCTTATAGGCTTCATAAACAGATTTCCCTATGTAAGCTGTGCCACGAAATGTAAGCGTCCAATCTTCTCCAGAAGCTGACTTTGTCTGAAAAAAATATATTTCAATTACTATGAATAAAGTAGCAATATTAACAGAAAGTGATATTTCAACGCCAAGGGTAGAAAAAGGTACAGAATATAGTCCAAGTAGAGACAGAGCAGTCAAACGTAAAGGGATCCGAACCTACCTATCCACGTGGCACCAAATCGCCTCGCCGTCCATGCATGAAAATTTCATGGCAGACCACTATCATAACTTGTGTATAGAAGACGCGAGCAGACGTGACCTCTGACCCCGAAGGTTCCGACATCCAGCCTCATAAACACAACTAGGACTAGTTTTCGACCTCACAAACGACACACAAGTACAGGGACGATAGTACAGACAAATAGGAGTAGCTTACTATAGCCTAATGGGTAGATTACCTTCTGACATTGACCCTTTGCTGACAGCTGGTTAATTAGTTCAAATGTTTGTTGACAGTTAAAACAAACTGAAGACTCGTCCCCTAACACTGGGAAACAAAAGTCGTACAATTGTTAGAAAGGTTGTGTATAGAGTCTGATAAGGGAATGCACTAATCCAGAATAATACAATGGCATTATGGTAAACACACTGGAACACTTCCAGAACGTAGATTAACTAATGATAATGTTAGTAACATTAGTAAGGTACATAGCTGTATTAAAATTTGTTAAATGATCAAGCTAGATTGCGGTTCTTGTAAGTCTGCATAGGTCTATGTGTATTGATGCCTCATCTTATGTCTATTTGTCTGTCTGTTGGTTGCAAAACTTTTAAAATAGTTATTTAAAAAGAACTTCAGTATAAAATTTAAAGAAATTTTTTTTTAAAGTTATAGATTATTTAAAAGAATAGTTATTTTAAACGTTATCAATATATTTTTTTTCTGATTTTGATGTATTTTAAAGTTGTTTTTTTTTATCATCAATGTTTTTATGCTTGTCTATAGTTTCTCTTTAAAGTAAAAATTATACGCCTATAAACTCGATTCATTTACCTTATTAACATTTTCTAAAATGTGTTTCAATCTTTTCCTAAATGTGTTAATAATATAACTTATTCTCAAATGATTACACATGTTAAATGAGATATATTTATTTAAAGTCAATAAACATAACAATGATATTTAGCAGACGACCAAGCATAATGAAAGCATTCAAGTTACAAAGAGATGGGTTTACCTGTAACAACCAATGTTAAAAACGTCAACAACTTCATTGTGAGCCTCGTCAGTTTAAATCTTGTCTTGAGTGTTTTGGCTAGTTTGTAGTCATTAATGTACTTCACAAAGTTGTCGGTACTGCCTTTTATTCTGGATCGTGGGAAGCAGTAATTAATTAATCAACAATGGCATAGGCGGATACAACTCGATTGGTGTAAAAACAAACTGTATTCGTGTCTTTCATATTTCGTATTTTGTTATAGTTTATTTAAGCCACAACTTAAAATATACCCTTTGTATATCAACTCCCAAAAAATGGAGATTAATTTTAAGTCAATAGTGGTAAATATTGAGATCGATAGCATAAACATCGAAAAGACAGAACCCAACCAAACTTGGCCACTATCCGCCACCGAGCAGTATTTTTATTAGGGTCTGTGAACACAACATGTCTGTTCAAACATAAGTTTATTTCATCGGTAATGACAGTAACATGATCAGCGTCAAATCTTTTGAGAGTCGTGACGATATCAACATCAAGCCTTATAGTAGTCGTGATGATAACAGCATTGTCTTGTGATCAACATCACAGTGTGTAATTTTCGTGATGGTAGCACTATACGATAAACGTCAAAGTTTGTAACAGTCAGTAGAAGATAAAAATATTTTAAAACAAAGCTGAAATGTAAACAGATCTAATGGAAAGTAGCAAGAAAATAACAAGAAAATCGACAATAGACTAGGGTGATTTTTTTTTTTACATGTACTAACATGTAAGTTCTATTTCGATATGATTTATACTAAAAAATAGTAACATAAAACCAGAAAGAGTAGACGTGAGTGAAGCGAAGACAAAATTAACTATGTGAGTACCGCTGAGGTAAAAAACTTGGGCACTTTGTGTGTGATGGTTCTATGAATATTAGGATACCGAAAGAAAGAAATAGACATAAAACAATATGGTATCTAGTTGTATAAATACATACATGAATACAAGCACACACACACACACACACACACATATATATATATATATATATATATATATATATATATATATATATATATATATATATATATATATATATATATATATATCAACTCAAACCCCCATTACAGTTAAAAAGTAAATATTAATAAGGAAATTAATAAATATCAAATAATATTTTCTAGTATAATTTCATTACAAAATAAAATAGATAACAGATACATTAATTTAAAAAAAAGAGTAGTGTTGAAAATCCACTCTCGCAAATCTAAGCAGACACAAAGGAAGTAAAACTCGATAGACAAAGCAATGTCACGATTTGGGTATGATAGTACATACCAAACGAAAATTGTGCAAACAGGTTTTCTTTAAACAAGGTACAGACAGTGTTACTTCCAGACTTTTTTTCTCCGGGGGAGGGGGGGGGGGCGTTATAATTTTTTCGGGGGGGGGGGGTGGGGAAAGGGGGGACTTCGCCCTCCCCCCCCCCCCCCCCCAAGAGATGCCTGGAAGAAACTCTGGGTACAAGCCGCGGAATTATTCCGCAAATGCAAGCATTCATGTTCTGGAAAGCTGGCAACATCAAGGGAAGTTTCTTCTTTCAGTTCAGGAAGGCAACGCCGCAACTCTTGTTCAAGAGATTCGAGATGCTCAGGAATCTCCTCTTTCAAACTTTTATTTATTTTATATTCGTATTCATCTAACACCCTGCAGTTTCTCAAACATGGCAACATTTCCAGGGTTATCTTTACTTCGCCAATGTTACAGCTTGGATAAAACTGCCCCAAGTTTCAGAGACATTGGTCTGTTAGAAGTGGTCGAAATTTCGCTCAGCAGTTTTTATCAATGACGAAGTAAGCACAACAGACAGACAGAGGACGCAAGTTAAATATAAGCTAATAATAAAAGCTTGTAAAATGAAGATGGTAAAGAAGGTGTAAAACAGAGAGCTTTCTTGTGAAAATCTTTTGATTTTTGTGTACTACTACAAAACTGCCTAAAGTTGTTTCTTTTACGTCCGCATGTTTGAAACGTATATGGTTTAATTTGAATGGTCGTCTGCTACCTGGGTTATGAAATTACGTCAACAGTAATTTGGCCGTGAGTGTTCCACTTTTTTAAGTGTCCACTCGCTCACGACGCATGCCCTTGTTATGGAGCACGTCGTCTACCAAACGATTACCTCTGCATTTAGTTGTGGCTAGAATCTTCTAAAGAGTGCAGTCGTGTCCTTGGTATTGAGCTCGCGAAGTAGCAATGGTAATCGTGTGAGCGTGTGGGCAGAACACACATAGGCGGACGCTGAAGCGTAGTAGCAGCACCCGGGCCATCCTAACGGCTCAGCGCCTTGGCGTGGTGGGATGGCTTGTGTGCCCCAATGACCCCAATTTCTATGCCGGTGGGAGCCTAGTGCTCCTGGCAGGTTTAACCTTTGCCGGACAGATCTTCGTGGGTAGGGGCCAGACAAAATGCTGTGCCCTTGTCCATCCAATATTTAAAAAGTTAATTAAATAGTTTTAAAAGGTCAGAAACAAAACATTTCGCAAAAAAAAAATTAAAAAAAAAGTTACGAGACATACACCTGTCAAATTTTTACACTGGTAATTAGGAATCTACGGCAGCAATTCAACATTCAAATAATTAGGCTTATGTAACAGGCAACATTTTTTTAAAATGTCGCCCATATTTTCTATATTTGTTACGATTTTACAAATCATTTTACAAAACATAAACCCTATTAGAGTTAGTAAGAAATTTTTAAAATATTTTTTTTAATACTCTTTGTTGGGTTATATTTTTTTCAATTCTGAAATATTTAAATTTCATCGTAATATAATTTCTTTAGTTCTGGTTATAAATAATTTTAGCATTTTGCTAATTTTCAGAAAAATCATTTTATATTTTGGAAAACTATACATTTAAAACTTAACTAATTAACTTTTTTAGGAACATTTAATTTTTTTAGCGTCATACATAAGCCTTTTAAAATACTGTTTTACAAGTGTGATCATAATCACTATGGTAAAAAAATGTATTTGTATAATAGGTGTGTTTTTTTTTTTGGCTAATTTTTTGTTAATTTTTCGTTGTTATGGTGATATTGTCCGCTTATTAACAAGCTTTTAAATATGCACAAAAAATAAAACAAAATAAAACCATTTCACTACTAGAATATACCCTTCAGTATCGCTACTAGGATTATTGGACTCCTATTCAAAAGTTATCAGTGGGTCCCATGAAAAATTTGTCAATCGTTAGGCTACAACGGAGTTAAACAAGGGCAGGAAAGAAATCAACTATTACTTAAGAAGGAGGGTTTTAAATAATATAAATACTCTGTACAGTAACACCATATTGATTAAAGATAAAATTGTCAGTTAAACTTTAAAACTAGTAGTAGGGAGTGAATTTCCAAGTCAGTTGAGGTTTGTAGCGTTGTACGGGTGTTCAGTGCCGTATCTCACAAAAAATTCTATGTTCAAGTTTATTTATAGGCTAATTTTCTCAATGTCTTTGCCTACAATGCAACAACATCTACAGTGTTTTTAATGCTGATGGGCCTTGTCTCAACCCTCTCCCCCACCATCACTTAACATAAACTGCCTTTTTTGCTTTTTTGGGAATTTTAAATTATTTCTAGAGCAGAAAAAAAACTGGAATTCCATTTTCTTTTCAAAATTATTTAGATTCTCAAGTCAACTTATTTTATTTAACCTTAGAACATTAGAATGTCTATTTCAGTTCGATTTATACTAAAAATAGTAACAAACAAAAAAACAACAGAAAAAGTAGACGAGAGTGATGCGAGAACAAAATTAACTAAGTGAATACCGCTAAGGTATCTTTGTTATGGTTCTATTGATATTAGGATACCTAAAGAAAGATATAGACGGAAAACAATATGGCATCTAATTGTATACATACATACATGCATAAATGCATACACACATACACGTATACACGTATGTTTGAGTTTATATATATATATAAAATACATATATATATATATATATATATATATACATACATATTATATATATATATATATATATATATATATATATATATATATATATACATATTTTATATATATATATATATATATATATATATATATATATATATATATATATATATATATATATATTATAATATAAACTCAAACACTCCTAACCAAAGCATTTCAGTTTGTTATACAATCACTGTCGCAAGTGTTGGATAATAAAAAAAAATGACTCTCACACGTTTGTAATTGTAAACTATTGATAGTCACACGCTGGTGCTAGGAAAATAAACTACCTGTTTCACACAGTTGTAACAGCTTTTACTGGAGTGTGTGGTGCTCCTGCCCATCTAACTACCCCATCGCCTCGCCGTGACCTCCTCTAGACAGAAGATAAATAAAATAACGAGACAAAGATTTAACTCTTCTTAAAAATAAAAAATTTACAGGTAATACAACATCGCAAATACTCGAGCCCCCCCCCCCCCCTTTCTTTTGAACACCCTTAGAATTTGGATCAGCACCGTTGTAGTAGACAAGCACTAATACAAAATTAATCTTGGCAAGTAAAATTTTGTAATAAAGATGCAATAAACTTGTAGAAATAACTTATGGGTTGGGGGGGGGGGGGGGGGAGAGAAGGAATGATGATGAAAAATTAATCTAGTAACCATTCGGACAGGTGTAGTAATTAGTAATTCGTTTATTTGGTTCCCAGGCTCTAGTCCATTTGATGTCATTGTGTCCACGTATCCCGTGACTGGGAAAATGAAAACACAGTTGTGATCATACACCCTGCTAATATCTCCGCACAGTGAACTCTGTATGTTAGTGTGTTATATAGTGAAGCATTGTTTAAAATTACGTGTATACGTGTATTTTTTTTCTTCTATTCTATAACCATTCATGATACGAAATTAAAAAACACAACTTTAACATTCAAAGTATAAAAAACCAATAACATTTTATTTGACTTAATCTCGTTCGAAACGAGATTATCACGGGACATTAGGGGTCGGCGTGGTCGAGTCGGTAAAGCTCATGGTTGCTAAACCGTAAAGTCTCGAGTTCGAACCCTCGGGCAGATGAGGCTCGTTAGCTGTGGGACAGCCACTCTTCTAGGAGAGACAACTCCAAAATTAAACAACTGCTGCCTTGTAGTTTGTTCTTGGTTGGACAAAGGCTATGGAAGCAAATCCAAAAAGAAAAGCAGGCTGAAATCGGAGTCAATGGCCTCAATGCGCATAACCAGTTGACACGTAACGCTTAATTGTGTTGGATGCGTGGTCGAGTCGGCAAAAAGCTCATGGTTGATAAATTCGAACTCGAAATCTCGAGTTTAAACCCACTGGCAGATAAATCTCGATCCCCTTCAACACTAATAATTAAGAACGAAGAAGAAGAAGAAGACGGGACATTAAAATAACGAACAAAGATGGCGATGTAGTCTGCAGTAGTGGTTGCACTGTTCCAGTTGCTTGCCGTGTCTGTGTAGGAATATTTAAACACGGGGAGGGCCAAGTTATGTTCCCAGGGACAATAGCCGTGCGTGTTGTCAATAGCAACGAACCACCCCACGTCGTTAGGACATCCGCCATAACGCACGTTCATGAACATCGTTCTTCTGAACTGTCCTTCTTGGTGTCCAACTAGACTAAAGTGGTTTGAACCGGAAGTCTTTAGATCTAACCAGGACGAGTCCTTGACCCTGTTCTTGTGAAACCAGTTCATGTACGTTGAACCCGAGCCGTCAAAGATGACTTGTTTCACTTTCTTGTGGTTTTTATAAATAGCGAAAGCCACTTCGGAAATTCCACGCCAGTTATTAATAACCGCGTTGTTTCTGTAGTGATTTGAGCAGGGCGCTATCGAGCCCACCTAAAAATAGAAAGAAAAATGGAAACATCAATATATATTATAATTCTCCTCAAGAAACCAGTCTGGTATTGATTTAAATATGTAAAGACATGGATTATTATTAAGCAATCATATACGTTATTAAGAAAAAACTATATGATCTAATATTTCAAACAACTAATTGATGCCATTGTTCTGATCTGTAGTGTAGGTACAGAATCGAAAAACCCTGCGCTAATAATAAAGTTCACTTTTCGAACCTTACGATTCATGGAGCAAGTTAAGTAGAGTTCACCTGTTTCTGATGAGGTAACCGACATTTTTACTGTTAATATAAACTACCAAAAAATCTTTTAAAAACCTACTTGCAGCCATTTTCCACATAGTATGGGATGCCTGTACCATCTTTATAAGCGAAGTAGACAGATCGTCCTACGCCCGCGGTGCCTCGGAAGGCCAGTGTCCATTCCCTCTTCTGTAGAGTGTCTGGTACTAGGCACTCACTCTGTACAGTCTTGGATGACGAGAAACGAACAGAGAGAACAATTTATGTCTAAAAATATTTAACAGGAAACTAGTAAACTATTAAAAATATGAATGGTGAGCCGGTACTTGAAATTATAATTTGTCAGTTCGGGTTCGTCACTGCTTTGATGTCACACTTCAGTGAGGGAGGGAGGGTACTTACATTTGTGACATAGTGTGACGAGGTATGAGTTAAAATCTATAATTTAACACTTTTGTCTTTTAGCGTGTAATAGTAGTATAGCGTGACATTATTGATAATAGTGCTATTATGGTAATCTTTTTTTTTGTTTTTTAAATTTAAACCATGAAACATTAAATGTTTGATTTTTAAAATGCTAAATAGATATAAGAACGTAAATGATTAGAAAGACGTGTTGTTGAATGATTTCACTTTCATTGCTTATTTCTACATAAAGAGACACGACTTAACCTGACCTTACCCATAAAATAATACGTACGGTACCTTCATGAATCTGTCAACTGATTGGCTGATCTGTTGAGCATTAGAGTTCACTGATTGGCTGATCTGTTGAGCATTAGAGCTCACTGATTGGCTGATCTGTTGAGCATTAGAGCTCACTGATTGGCTGATCTGTTGTGCCGTAGTGCTCAAAGCATTCTGGAAAGTACTTTTCAAGTCAGCAACTGCCATGGTGACGTCATGGCTACATGCATCGTCTGGAACCCTCGCCCGGACTACAGCAATCTCAGATTTTTTGTGACCTTTGAAATCTGAATATCTCAACTCACACAGAAACGCCCCCTTGTCACAGTCCTTCCGGTTCTTCAGCTGTACTGATAACAATGCGATACTTGGCGTAAATTGCCGATCAGTGACCACCACATCGGGATCTTTCGGCGTTTCAGTCAAGAGAAAGGGGGGAACAAAAGTCAGCAGTGAGCCATTTGAGGCCAGGTTTAATATTTGCAGAGCGGAGATTGTCGTTACTCTAGCAGTCACGCGCTGGTAGCATTTCGGCTGAGAGCAGACGAAACCATTTGAAGCAGACGGCACAATTTTCGTCAGGTTAAGCTATAACCCTAAATGATGATTTGATGTTTTAAAATAAAAACAAGTACATTTAACAGCACGAAATATGAACGGTCAATATATAATACAATTTTAGAAGATTATGTTTTCGAAATTTTAAAAAATCTTTGAATAAACGAGTGCAAAAATATCAAGTTATGAGTTTTGTTCTCAGCTTGAGATTGTAGACCGTACCTGGGCAGAACTGCCCCTCACAAGTAAACCTGGTGGGAACATTTAGAAAGTAAGAGAGAGAAAGGAATGGGGAGGGAGAGAGAGATAAGATATTTTAACTGTCGCTCAAATTATTAAACAAAAAAAAACTTTTTTTTTCAAACTGAAAAGTACAGACCTCGAGAGCTTGAGAGAAAGAAAACAATTGTAAACAAGTCCAATCTAAGTCGCAGTTTGTCCATTTTAGTTACATTTTCCTGTTATCTTCAGGTCTAGCTTTTATAGCCTGTCGAAGTTGTTTTGATATCGCTTTATTGCAGTGGCGTCACTAGGTCGTGTGACAGCTGATGTGATAAGTCAGGGTGTCACCCGACTGACTCTGTATGCTGTTGTAGATGGATCGGTGTTTGCTGTTGTAGATGTATTGATGTAACCCGACTGACTCTGTAAGCTGTTGTAGATGGATCGGTGTTTGCTGTTATAGATGTATTGGTGTCACCCCTTTCTAGTCTGAATAATATCATTTTATGTTTTATAAAAATAAGGTACCCTTTCGATCCAGACGCTCAACGAAGTAGAGTTGTTTTAGTGAACTCTGCACTGTTCAACCGCCTTTAATTTCTCTTATGTAAGTAAGGACGGCTACCCATGAGAGCTGGGTGGACTCAGGGACGTCTTACCGACTCGAGCCTGGGAGCCGAAGTGCTCTACCATGCGACCACCCCGCCCCTCATTTTATGTCAAAGGTATACACTGCTTTATTGAGTTGTTAGGTAAACTAGACACAGCAGAATTTCTCCATACATTAGATTTTTTTTTCGTTGGTTGGTGTCGTCTCATTGGTTGTGTCATCCCACTGATTGGTGTCATCCCACTGATTGGTGTCATCCCACTGATTGGTGTCATCCCACTGATTGGTGTCATCCCACTGATTGGTGTCATCCCACTGGTTGGTGTCATCTCACTGATTGGTGTCATCCCACTGATTGGTATCATCTCACTGATTGGTGTCATCCCACTGGTTGGTGTCATCTCACTGATTGGTGTCATCCCACTGATTGGTGTCATCCCACTGATTGGTGTCATCCCACTGGTTGGTGTCATCTCACTGATTGGTGTCATCCCACTGATTGGTGTCATCTCACTGATTGGTGTCATCCCACTGATTGGTGTCATCTCACTGATTGGTGTCATCCCACTGGTTGGTGTCATCTCACTGATTGGTGTCATCCCACTGATTGGTGTCATCTCACTGATTGGTGTCATCTCACTGATTGGTGTCATCCCACTGATTGGTGTCATCCCACTGATTGGTGTCATCCCACTGATTGGTGTCATCTCACTGATTGGTGTCATCCCACTGTTTGGTGTCATCCCACTAATTGGTGTCATCTCACTGATTGGTGTCATCCCACCGATTGGTGTCATCCCACTGATTGGTGTCATCTCACTGATTGGTGTCATCCCACTGATTGGTGTCATCCCACTGATTGGTATCATCCCACTGATTGGTGTCATCCATTTGCTTGGTGTCATCCCACTGGTTGGTGTCATCCCACTGGTTGGTGTCATCTCACTGGTTGGTGTCATCCCACTGGTTGGTGTCATCCCACTGGTTGGTGTCATCCCACTGGTTGGTGTCATCCATTTGGTTGGTGTCATCCCAACGGTTGGTGTCATCCCACTGGTTGGTGTCATCTCACTGGTTGGTGTCATCCCACTGGTTGGTGTCATCCCACTGGTTGGTGTCATCCCACTGGTTGGTGTCATCCCACTGGTTGGTGTCATCCATTTGGTTGGTGTCATCCCACTGGTTGGTGTCATCCATTTGGTTGGTGTCATCCCAACGGTTGGTGTCATCCGTTTGGTTGGTGTCATCCCACTGATTGGTGTCATCCCACTGATTGGTGTCACCAGCTGATTGGTGTCATCCAACTGATTGGTGTCACCAGCTGCAGTCCACATCCCACCTCCCCCTTATGAAGCTCCTATTGTAGTGTTTTATTGCTCTACGCCAGGGGTCTCCAAACTACGGCCCGCGGGCCGGATGCGGCCCACGAGGTCCTCTTATCCGGCCCGCGGAGATCTTTTTGTCCACGGAAAAAACGTTTGTTGGTAATGGCTGAGGAACTTTGCCCAGAAAATCAAAGACATGCCTGAAAGAAACTGGCCCCCGAACTGAAAATTGATAGTTAATGCGGCCCTCTGACTGAAAAGTTTGGAGACCCCTGCTCTACGCAAACATGTTGTCGTTTATCTTGATGAGATTTACTACCTGGCTCATTAATTACGATGTTTTGGTAATGTGAAGGTGGTTACAGCAATATTCAGAGGATGGAGGTAAATATCAAGTTACCACTAGTTGTTTTATCTCGTTGAGGAAAACATACAATAGATAATGTTTTGTAGGTTTTCTTTCCCCAGCGGTGATCAAACTTTAAAAAAACTGATTAAGGACCTTTTTTAAAAGGGATTTTTTCTCGAAAACACCTTCTACTTTAAAACACAAGATTAAATGTTTGGGGCAGGGCGTTCAGCTGATTTCCTATCCATGTTATTGTGTGGGTGGGTAGCAAATCGATACAACAGATCAATGGTGTGCTCAAACAAGTAACTAAAGATATGCACTCTGATATGTACTCTCGACCTGTGCTGTAGTTTGGTAGAGATACCAGTGGTTATTGACATTTACAAGAATAAGTGTTGTCTGAATGAAATATTATGAAAAGAAAGTTAAACAATAATAATTTCGCAATAAGTTAACTTATCACAACACTATACTACCGTTATGCTTTGATAAATAGTATATATGTAGTTATAGTTTTATTCAGCAAAGCCCAGCCACAGTATTATAATCTTAATGTATTACGAATTCTACTTAGAATTACAATTAGATCCAGATCTAGCAGCTAAGTCAGTTGAGTAATGTTCTCTAGTCTTCCCTGGACTAACTGTAAACGACAGACAGACAGACAGACAGACAGACAGACAGACAGACAGACAGACAGTCAGACAGACGGACAGACGGACGGACAGACGGACAGACGGACAGACGGACAGACGGACAGACGGACAGACGGACAGACGCACAGACGGACAGACGGACAGACGGACAGACGGACAGACGGACAGACGGACAGACGGACAGACGGACAGACGGACAGACGGACAGACGGACAGACGGACAGACGGACCGACGGACCGACGGTCCGACGGACCGACGGACCGACGGACCGACGGACGGACGGACGGACGGACGGACAGACGGACGCACAAACGCACAAACGCACAGACGGACGGACACACATTCGGCTAGAATTGCAAAGTCCAGTTTTTCCGACTAGATGACAAGTAAAATGCCGAGATTTTGTGTAATTAGGCTAATAGTGGGAAATGTTAGTACTTTTTGAGCGCGGTCAGAGAAAAGAAAGGTTCTCTGTGTGAGATAGAGTTTAAATTGTCTGTGGCGGTAAATAAAGAAAATGTGTGCTCTATATTTCTGTGTTGCTGGTATTACTGGTAAAGTAGTAAAGTTTTTATTGTACTTTTATTTTCTATATTTCTTCATGACATGGGATAATTCTGTCCATATAAGTTTATAATTTGTTGAAAACTCGAGACTGTTGTAGTTCAGAGGCGTAGCGGGGGGGGGGGGGGACATATCCCCGGGCGCCGACCTTAGGGGCGTCAAAATGGGTTGGAAAAATAAATTGAAAGATTGAGGGGGGTGCATATCGAATATCGAAAATTTGAGGAGGGGGTGCAAATCGAAAGTTTGTCCCCGGGCGCCGGTAAGGGTCGCTACGCCTCTGTTGTAGTTTCAGGCCACGGGGTGGTTTAATGGTCTGGTAGCATACCAATTTATGTAACGTTATAAATTTATTTATATTGTATATACCCATTATATTCCTTATGACCTGTTTACTTTTTAAAGATTTTTACTAGTATGTTGTTATATCTTCAAGTTTTGTGATAATCCTCTTGAGTGTTTTGTACATTTTTTTTTCTACAATTAGTGTATTTTGTATTTCTTTTGTATCAGATTGTAGAATAGTAATGCATTTTTTTTAGAAAGCTTTAAGTTTGGTTCCCCAATTTTTTCAGTAAAAATGTATTAGTAGTTAATCATCTTTTGTTTTCATTTGACTAAGGTTACGGTAAACCACTGAGGCTTTACCACAGTTGCAGTGACGTCCAATAGTTTATAGTCCTTAGGGGTAGATTAGATATAAGCTTTACACTACCCCCCCCAACCCCAACAGGACTTACATCTAATTTTGTTTTATACGCGTTTGGTCTGATATTTTATTACAAAAAAATAAACAACCGTAAAACGTATGTTCTTATGTTGTCCTAAGGGTTTAAATATTTGTTCGATTGAAACTAATTCAAAGGACAGAGGATTTTTTTTCTAAATTTGAGATGTTAAGATCCCTAAAAATATGAGGTCCCAGGCTGCTGCCCGCTAAGCGCCACCTTTAAAACGCCTGTGCCATCACCTTGCCTGCGCCAACTGCAAATCTTAATACATAAGCGAGGTCATCGCTTGAAATTTTCGGGGGGTTGGGGGGGGGGGGGGCGGACTAAAATTTCTGATTCTTTTTCGTTCGGAGGACGGTAGACTTACTTCTTCCCCCCTCTCCCCCCCTCCCCCCACCGAAGAGATGCCTGGAAAAAACTTTGGTGTTTAATATTTAACTTTGATGTACCATAGCTCATACAAGGCTTATAAAGGTATCCTATGTTTAAAGAATGAGCTTTTTTTTTACAAAATATATACAAAATGGTTTGAGAAAAGCTTTAGTGTGTTATTGATTTATAATTTATTTCACTCTGAACTTCGTTAAGCCTCTTTATCAAGGCATGTCGTAGTATTTGACAAAAATGGCAAACACGTCAGCTATACCCACATCGCCAGTGTTCCAGTTTTCTGCCTGATTCTGTCTGGCGTATTTGAAGACTGGAAATGTGCTGGTTTTCTCCCAGTTACAATGGCCTCCAGCTCTATCTATAGCGACGAACCAACCTCTGTCTGCTGGACATCCGCCATAGAAGTTGTTGATGAAGAAGGTTCTCTTTACTGCTTTTACTGGTAATATATTTCCTTCAATTGAGAAGACGTTAGTGACGTCTGTCTTAATTTGGTTCCATGTAGAAAACTTGACCCTAGTCTTGTCGAACCAGTCCATGTAGGTTGATCCTGAGCCGTCAAACAAAATTTCTTTGACTTTTGTGTAATTGGAGTACACGATGAAGGCGACTTTCTCTACACGGTCCCAGTTGTCGAACACTTCTTTATTTCTGTAGTGGTTGGAGCAGGGCAGTGGCTCTGTCACCTGTAGAAGATAGATTGTTAAAATATGTAAGAGATCACACGAGTGAACAGTAGCTTTTATTGAAGAAAGCAAGTTTATTTTATTTTCTTATGTTGATGAATTTTAAAAGCTTGGTATAGGGCTTGTAAGTAAAAGCTATCTTAGGCTAGCAAATACTGTTTTATTTGTTGTAATAAATTTTAAATTTGAGGGCCTAGAGCACAAGTTTAATTTAGTTATAAACTCTATCATCAATTCATTAGCTATTAGATTCGGTAGTTATACTCTCATATCCCGATAGTGGTAACTAGGCCTAGTAGTACATCGAAGCTAGCCAGTTTTGATCTGGGGCCTAACTATAGTTAATTAAATTTTAAATCATACTAAATCTATTGTAGAATCTTGATCTAAAATGTTTTTAAATAATGTAAGAGGTTTAATGGGCGACCAAGGCTTTTTAAAAAAAAATAAGGCAGGTTTGTTTTAGTTTCTTACTTTCAGTGCATGTAAAAGCTTTTCTTAACGGGTTTTAGATTTGTTGTATTTCAAGCTTTTATGTATTAAAGTTATTAGGCTATTTAACTTGATTCATCAGGCGGTTTTTTTATCGTGCCTTTTACTTAGTCCGCCATGGGCCGGAACTTGTGAGCCAAATGTCGACAACTTCTACCAAATCTATTTCTTTCAAACTTGAAACGTTTGTCAAGACTTGGAATATTACTTTTGAAAGTCTGCATTTTGTCTTGGGGGAGATTTCTTCGATCCTCATACTTTTTTGTATGGCTGTAAAGGTTTGTTTGGCTTTAATGTGTGATTTAATTTCAGTTGTGCAGTCTTTTTCATAAGTGACAATGCTGCCTAAATAAGTGAAATCTTTTGCCTTCTCTACTGGTGTGCAGTGCCGGCGCCAGGTAATTTGGCGCCATAGACAAAACTTATCAAAACGCCCCACAGATCCTGCACATTTTTTTCGGGCTACCATATAATATATATAACCTATATATATATATATATATATATATATATATATATATATATATATATATATATATATATATATATATATATATATATATATAATATTATATTATATAAACAAATAAATAACTAAATATATATTTATATATATTAAGTACATCCACAATAAGACAACAAACCACACAGAGATAGGCTGAAACTCATTTCTGGTCTGAAATAATCTAGTTTTAAAATATCGCATTTATGCCCGCCGAAAGTTTATGAATAATGTCATGGAAGTGGTTTAAAAGTTTGCCTATTTTACTTACTTTATTTTGCTTTCTTATTTTTTACCTACGCTACAGTGTGTATTAGTAATTTAGTTACTTTAGAAAAATCGCTTCTGCGGTCTATGTGTTTTTTGCTTTCACAAAACCACTAGTTTATCAAGGTGCGAAAAAAATATTTTTTTATGTATCGGATTTTGCTTCCCCGCCCCCAAAACGGCATGGCACTCTCCCCTTCCTCGACCATTACGGGGTCGGGCGGTATAGTAGTTCCGCCCCTGTAATTAATTTCAATTCTCAAAGACTGCGCTCTCAAAGAAACAGCAACATGTGGTACACTATCTTCCAATTGTGGTTGTACTATAAAGAGAAGCACGTCTGAAGGTGACATATGCTTATGAAGCTACTTTTTGGCATTAAAGGCTTATTTAATTATTTCACCAACTCAAATAACTATCATAGGCCTAATATGAGGCGGAAGCGCGAAATTGATAGTTCGTTCTGGACACTTAAATAGATCGCAACGTTTTTGTATATTACCCTGTCTATAGTTTATATAGTATAATCAAAGCTGTTAATTATTAGGCAATTTTTTAATAATGACAATTACATATTTTTGCGCCCCCTATGGATAGCGCCCTAGGCGACCGCCTAGTTCGCCTTTTGGTAGCTCCGGCCTCGTGTGCTGCTCTTTTTAATTGATCCTTTGCTAGTTTAATTCGGTTTAATATTTTTGGTTTTGATAGTTGTTTTTTTTAATTTGAGTCCAAACCCATTAGCGAAAGAAAATGTCTTTTTTATTTTTCTTGCACATCTTTTTGATGTAATGATAGTAATGTCGTCTCAAAAATCTAGTTTCTTAAGGCTAGTTTTTGTGTCGCACTGATGGCTTTTGCTTTGTCTGAGGTTTGCGTCATCAGCCAGTGTGCACATATCTATCTCTCACCCTCTCTCTGTCAGTCACATATTTTCCGATGCTATACGATCAGTATCTTCAGAAACATATGGAGAACTTAATGACAACAGACTTTTGTTGAACATAATATATTGAATGCACTAAATGTATAAACTAAAATTTTTATTTAAATTGGCAACGGCAGCAGGATAGAAACGAGACACACAACACAAGGAATAAACATCATCACCTCACTCACTTGCTTATATATATAGATTATATAGATTATATAAGTATGAATATATATATATATATATATATATATATATATATATATATATATATATATATATATATATATATATATTCATACTTATATAATCTATTAACATGCTATAACTCCCACCTGTTTACATCCTGGCTCCACTTCACTTGGTATCCCAGTACCGTTCTTATAGGCCGCAAAAACTGATTTTCCTACGTTAGCTGTACCGCGAAACGCGAGTTTCCATTCATTTGTAGTTAGCTTGGTCTGAAAGTATAATGCGATTTCAATGTGGGGGAAAAAAAGCTTATTTTCAAGCTGTATCGCTAATAACTACAAATACTGAATCACTTTATTCAATTACATATTCATGATGAATAAACATGAATTAATTTATGAGATAATTCTGTATAGTCCAAGTTTATAATCAACATCATTTCAAACTATTCTCATGCACAAGAGGAAAACAAATTTTGTGGATTATTATTTTATTTTATTGTGCTCGTAAAGCTCAACAGCTAATGGTTAAGCTTTTTTAGTTGCACAATGAAAATGTATATGTTTTTTTGGGTTTGTGGCATATCTCGTAATTCAGTTTTGACTAACTTCTAATGCAGCGATTTCGTTTCCAGATACGTTCGGTTTTTATGACAGTGCATGCAAATTTAATTTTTATTCTAATTAGATATTAAACTAGCTGTAGGGGTCGGCGTGGTCGAGTCGGTAAAAGCTCATGGTTGCTAAACCGAAAAGTCTCGAGTTCGAACCCCCGGGCAGATGAGGCTCGTTAGCTGGGGACAGCCACTCTTCTAGAAGAGACAACTCCAAAATTAAACAACTGCTGCCTTGTAGTTTGTTCTTGGTTGGACAAAGGCTATGGAAGCAAATCCAAAAAGAAAAGCAGGCTGAAATCGGAGTCAATGGCCTCAATGGCGCATAACCAGTTGACACGTAACGCTTAATTGTGTTGGAGGCGTGGTCGAGTCGGCAAAAAGCTCATGGTTGATAAATTCGAACAAAGTCTCGAGTTCAAACCCACTGAAAAGCACGGGCAGATAAATCTCGATCCCCTTCAACACTAATAATTAAGAACGAAGAAGAAGAAGAAGAAACTAGCTGTAACAATAATATAAACATTACTATATTTTACGAGACGATCCCCGGCTTAGTTTTAAAGTGTTAACAGTTAATAGTAAAGATGTACATCTATTGTCAATTATTAATATAGGTGGATTAACTCTAACTAATCATTAATTAAACATTTCAAAAAGCATATTTTGCAGCTTTTCGCCGTGGTGTCACCCCCCCCCCCCTAAATGGTGTCACCCAGTGCGGTCCGCATCCCTCGCGACGCCTCTGCCCATACAGCAACACCTATTTTACTCGGGAGTTCAACAGGCGCACTTTGGTTGACAAGGAGAGATTACAGGAAGATCAGATGATGCGCTAAAATAAAAAGGTAAAAAGCGGCAAAAACTGTCAAATATTCATGATTTATGTGAACGATTACAATACTTTATTTGCACTCTATATACGAGATAGCCCAAGACGATTTGTATAAGCTTTTATTTAAGTTGCTTTTTCTGTCTATCGTGGGTGGCGCTTAGTGCGCAATTCTTCGTCATGTGTAAAAACTACCGATCGAGATATCAACCACTTCTAACCGACGGACTAGTTTCGAGCTTGACATCACCCTAGGTAGCCGGGTTCAACCCTTGTTTCGTTTCCTTAGAGTAGGTTGCCCTTGGGATTGGTGTCATCCGTACTCGGGGGCATCGGAGGTCGCCCTTGTTCCAGTTTGGCCGTTGAATCAAGTAGTATTCTTGACTCATTAAAGCGAATATATGCGCCTTAGTGCTCACGGGGGAGCTCGAAGCGCACCGGGTCACACGACCTGAGGGGCACCGGCTGATGCGCCTAGTGGAGTTTGACCGTTAAAGCAAGTAGTAACCCCACCCCATGCAATTCGAAATAAAATAAAACTTTAATGGCAGAAAACTTTCCAGGAGTCAGAGGTTCTTTTAGGCATCTTTTTAAAAATGTCTACGAAAAAACACTGCCTAGAGTTTTCTCAACGACATCCTAAAGTTTCTTGTCGGTTGGATGAATAGTATATTAATTCCTAATGGACAAACAATTAAAACTAAAATCTTATAGTTACAGTCTAATTGTCATTAAGGTTAAAACTAGTAGACAAACATTTACAATTGTTGGACTTAGCTTGATGTGAAAACACTGTCCATGGTTGTTAGTGTTATCCAAAAAATTGGTTCAATTTTAATCACAAGGGAGGTGCAGGTCTGTGGGGGTAGGGGTGGGAGGGGCGGGTGGTATAGGGAATTTTCCACTCAGTCGAGGTATGTAAATTTACGAGTGCCGGATACTGTTTCTGACAAAGGATTCACAGTTATAGTTTATTTATAGGCTAATTATCTCAATGGCTTGCTCGGCAATGCAACAGCACCTGTAGTGTTATTAATACGGATGGGCCCTGCCCCCCCCCCCCCCCCACACACACACACGGAATGCCACTACATATACACTTTGAAAGAACTAGGATCTTTTTAATTTAAATTTTAAATTATTTCTAGGGTAGAAAAGAAACTGGATTTCCATTTTCTTTTTAAAATATTTTATACAAAACAAATACTAACATTCAAATGTAAAGTTTTAATTTTCTAAAGAGGAAAATGGCCCGTATGTTCCTTGAGGCCTCTATGCCTTGCTTAAACTAGCTTTACGAAAGCTACGCCAATGGTTCTAATTTTCGTAACCTTTCCTCCGTTTTGGAAAAGTAACGTTTTTTTCTTCTTCTCAAAGCGAATTAATTTTATGACGACGATATATATCCGTTTTCCTTTCACATTAGCTCCATTCACCAATATTTATGCTAAATTTCTCGAGAGCTGTTGGGGTTCATCCATAAATGACGTCACGCTTTTTTTTTGGACGAATTTTTACCTCCCCCCATCCCCTCCGTCACACATCGTCACAAAAAGCCAGACCCCCCTCCATTAAAAAGACGTCGCACCTCAGCCTACAACCCCCCCCCCCCCCCCAAAAAAAAAATTGCAGTTGAATTTCTCTTAAAACATCGATATTTTTCCAAAATCTTATCTGTCAACATAGAGTATTTTAATCAATTCCTATTACAATTTATTAAAACAGTTTTCTAAAACGCGAAATAAAGGCTAAAATTTGTTTTCTAACATTGCTTTTTTATAATGCAACAGTGTGACGTCACACCATCTAACCCCCCCCCCCCCCTTCCCTTCATCACACGCCGTAACAAAATTACGGACCCCCCCCTCCCCCCTATGAGTGTGACGTCATTTATGGACGACCCCTTGGCAGTTGATTCTTCAGCAATACAAAAGTTCTATAACATATTCCACAGTTTAAAATTCACCATCCTACGTATTCGACAACTTCAACGAACGAGATAAGACTAGCAAAGTATTTTTTTTAAAGCCAGAATATTATACTAATAAATGAAATGCTAACGAGTACTGTTAAAATAATTGAATGATATTTTAACTAACTTTATTTACCTCTGGGCATTGAGCATTGGCTGTAAGTTGGTTAATTAGTGCAAGTGTTTGTTGACAATTTTCCCCTATTGCTGGGAATCAAAACAAAAAAAGTCGGTGAAATGTATACAAATAGGTTTATAATTAAGTTAAGTCCAGTGTTTTTTCCAGGGGGCGGACTAAAATTTTCGGGGGGGGGGGGGGGGGCGGACGGCGGACACTGTTAAAAGTATGAATCGTCTATATAAATTCCATTTCGTTTTGGGGGAGGTAGACTTTCTTCGGGGGGAGGGGGGGGGGCGGAGCCACCCCGAAGAGATGCCTGGAAGAAACTCTGGTTTAGTCGGACATTGGAATAAATTAATATAATTATATAAGGACAGAGTGTAAGTAGCCGAATTGAATATTCAACTGGGTCATGGGATCAGGCTTAGCGTTAACAAGAAAGATGGCTGCCCAATAATTATCTAATTCGATAATACAAGAAATAAATAGACGTAAGCTATTTGTTAGGTCTGTTCTGTCGGAGTAACTCAAATCTAGTTTTATTATATAGTCCATATAGGCTAGTTAGTTGCACAAACCAAGAAAATATGACGTCACAGTCTCAAAACCTTTCGTTTACAAAGAAAATAATTACGTCTACAGCCGTCTACGCATAGCGCATCAAACGGCTTTAAAATAGATATCACGTGATTCCGTAACCCGTTTTAACTTTAGTCGGAACGACTTGATGCGGCCGCTTACGGCAGATTAATTTTTTCTTCAAGACCCCTTTTCTATATGTCAAAACAAAAGCCACTTAAAAAGGTAAGTTTTCAAAAATTGTATTAAAATATTTTAACACTCGGACTAGCTCTGTATTTGTTAGGATTATTTTAATAATCCATTTTTCTGCTTAAGTCTAATTTTTTGTAATATTTTACGCTTTAGCAGACTACGAACTTCGTCTCACAAAGCAATCCTCCGAATGACACTATTTAAACGGTATCGATACTTTTTAAACCCCTTTCCGCGCCGATTGATTGATTGTAAAATATAATAAATTTTATGACATTGACGCTTTTAAAAAAAAAGAATACTTACAAAATTGGAGTTTAAATGTTGCTAACGTAATTATCTTGTGTTAAATGTTAATACAAAACACATTTATACAAATATGTAACGTTTTGAAGGCCCGCTCTAGTTGTAACTAATTCGCTGTAATCATGATCGAACTGGGAATCGAGCTATTAAAATAAAATACTGTAAAAAGATACACACTTAAACTAAACATGGATCGAGTGTAATATATTTATCTATTTAATTAAATGCACTAGTAGACTTCCTTTTGTTAATTATTAGCAATGTAGAAAATATTGAAAATGGTCTCACAAAGTAGACCAATACTAGTAATATCGATACCGCTTAACACGCATCTCCGTTCAGCCTTAAATCTAGTATTTAAGCCCCGAACTTACTAGTTAATTAATTAGCTCTAAAGGCTTTATACATGATTAATATTGATAAAATTAAAATTAGTGATTCAATTATTGTTTAAATTGTAATGTTCTTGTTAATAAAACACCATATTTTCTGATGCTGCTGCTACACATGTTGAACGCAAGCAGGGCCACTATCCATATTATTGACACTGCATTTCCTGGTCTCTGACGGTTTTCTTTCTCTTTAGCCCTCTTCTGTGGATAGAAATGAAGGTAGGCTACATCAGCAAGAAATTAAAAAAACAGAGGGACTTCTCCGCCCCCCCCCCCCCCAGACTAATATTATACTACATTGAAAACCATGAATAAAATCAACTTACATTACTGCCTTTAAGACTAATAAGTTACTAACAGTGTATTACTTCAGATTTTGATCTGTAACATATCTTGGAATACCTATTCATTATCATCTTTTTTTATAATTTTTTTTGTATCACATGTAAACTGGAAATCGAATATAAGGCTACTATTATGTGATTAAGTAAATTAGGCTCCTCTTATTAATCTAGTCTAGAATCTAGTACTCTTCTATATTAATTATTTAGGAATAGTACCTAAAGGCGTATTATCATAATTGAATTTAAAAAAACCAAAGACGTTACTTTATTAGTGACGTCACTAATTACCGTACCACTTAACAATAGATTATTTTTCTGTTTTCGAAACTTTAGAAACAGCTACCGCAATATGAAGATTCTAACTGGGATCAGCAACAGATCAGTGTTGAAAAAAATCAAGTTACTAATGAAAAGTTTTAGAATACACTAGCCTATTCTATATAAACAAAGTAAACCCAAACATCGTTAATGTCCAATAAATTATTAATGCAATTGCAATTAAAATTATTCTACATTTCAATAGATAAGATTTCGTAGGTTCTCTTTCCCAGCGGTGATCAAACTTAAAAAAAAAAACCTATTAAGGACTCTATTTTAACATAGGGATTCTTTTTAAAACACCTATTTAAAAACTCAATTTCAAGTAGAGTTTCTTCCAGGCATCTCTTCGGGGGGAGGGGGTGGGGGGTGGGGGGGCACCGCCCCCCTCACCCGAAGAAAGTCCCCGAACAAATGGAATTTATATAGAAAGTATATACTTTTGACAGTGTCCGCCCCCCGCCCCCCCCCCCGGAAATTATTGTCCGCCGCCTCCCCCCCCCCCCCCCCGAAAATTTCAAGTGCACCCCCGGAGAAAAAAGTCTGGAAGAGACACTGATTTCAAGTGTTTAGGGCAAGGCGGTCAGTGGATTTCCTATCCATGTTATTGAATGGTGTGTTTGAACACGTAATTAAAGATTTGCACTCTAACATGCTTTCTCGACCTGTGCTGTAGTTTGGTAGAGACACCAGTGGTTATTGACATTTACAAGAATTAGCGTTGTCTGAATGAAATATTATGAAAAGAAAGTTTGCATTACAAGATAGTCATCTAGACATTGTAAAAGTTCTAAACGGGATCTGTTAAGAAAGCAAAGATTCCAAGGAAAGAAGTGATACTACTGATATGAAACAATACAATCTAGAAAAAAAAAAAAAACTTCGCCATAAGTAAGTTAATTTTTACTAACTTATAGCGATGTTGTTTTTTTCTTCCTAGAAATGTTTACTTAACTTATAGATGTCGCAAGTGTAAATGCGTTGTAAGAATTTAGTCAAACTAACTGTAAAATTCGAAAACGGCGGAAGCTTTTATCAGGTTTGCTGCTTTTACATTGTGTCTATCTTTAAAAAAAAAACAACAACTTTTATTTTCAATTTAAAAGAGGTACATCAACATCAGCCGTCAGGCTACAATGGAGTTGAACGAAGACATATTTTCGGGGGGGGGGGGGTCAACATTTTCCGGGGGGGGGGGGGCGGCCACTAGTAAAGGTATATATTTTCTATATAAATTCCATTTCGTTCGGGGGGCGGTGGAAGAAACTCTTCAAGTAGGAGTCCAGGATTTCAACAAAATTATGAAAGAAAAGAAATAAGGTGACATTTTCAATAATTTTGAAGGACAAAAAACTATTTATAGCAATGCATGATTGTTCTTTGATATTTGCCAAAAACAGAAATTTCTTTAGCAACATTTAATTTTGAGTTTAGGGCAGTGTTTCTTCCAGACTTTTTTCTCCGGGGGGCACTTGAAATCTTCGGGGGGGGGGGGGGGCGGTAAACTTTCTTCGTGGGGGCGGACACTGTTAAAAGTATATATTTTCTATATAAATTATATAAATTTCATTTCGTTCGGGGGGGGGGGGGGGCGGTAAAAAAATTTCCCGAAGAGATGCCTGGAAGAAACTCTGGTTTAGGGTACCTAAATTTGAATTGAAAAAAAAAAGTAAAAAAAAGCGTTAAATCTATTTTTGTGCTTTGTTACTATTCCGTGTAATCTTTGTACTGTCATTCTAGATGGGTTATGCTACAGTGGATGCGTGTATCTTATTGATAGTATCAACCCGGTTAACAATGATTCATTTAATTCAATATTTGCAGAACAAGTCGGCTAATAGCTTTAGCCTACAAATACAACATAACACATAGTCATAAACTAACAGGAAACGTTACTAAAGCTGTCTGTAAAAATAAAATAATACTGCTGTAAACCGGAAGCTAACCTTCCAGCTTGGAGGCGAAAATGTTCATAACAATTTGAAAGTAGAAACAAAACAAAACAAATTTTGAAATTGAATTAACATTAGAATAGAATATGTTTATAGTTAATAGTTAGACTTTACTTTAGACTGATTATACTATTATACTCCACTAGAATCTAGATCTAGGTATTTATCATACTATATATATATATAATTATTATAATTGATCTAGATCTAGTAACAATGAAAAAAAAAGTAAAGTTCCCTTTCATTTCAAACCTGTACTGAACTGTAACCTGGGGCCTGGGAGGCAAGTTGAAGTGAAGTAGAAGAGAATCTAGACTAGATTCTAGAAGAACTCACTTGCTTCTGTGACCTCACCTTCTTGGCATATAATGAAGACAAAGTGTGGTACTGGTCAGCACCATGCCCAGCTGCATTTACTTTCCCAAACGTGAGTTAGGTACCCCTCACTCAGAGCCGGGTGGACTCAGGGACGGTCTACTGACTTGAACCCGGATTCGAACTTGAGACCTATGGCTACGGGTTAGCAGTCCAGCTCTCTACCGCTAGGCCACTCCGCCCCATATCAGTAACAATAAGACGTAATTAAGTATTTAGATATAGTAATACTAATAATACTAGTCTAGTTACTAGTATTATAGTATCTAAAATTGTCCGAGGCTAGTAATGTACGAAAAAGTTACCTCATTGTCAAGGCTTTAATAGAAGTATAACTATATTGTGATATATTTGTGTCAAATATTATAGATAACTGAATAATAAACCAAAATCAATGGCTAAATATATCAATATAGGCTAGAAATTAACTATAAATAGCAGTGTTTGCGAGCAAGATTTGCTATATTATATAAACAGTAGCCATTTGTAAAATAGAGTGGCTTCCCCTGAATCTCCCGCTATAAGTTTTGTCATAGCATAGATAGATAGAATTAGTAGCAGAACGTATACAATACCACCCATCACAGGTTTACCAAAAAAAAAATGTAAACAAGATGGCTGCTATAGTAAATGAACATGGTTGCATCTGATGAAAACATCGCTTGTCTTCATTTATTACTGAAAAGTTTCAATTCAATTGTTTAAAAACCGGAAATTATGAAACATTTTTGTAATTTTCAAAACATAAATCTTCCTAAAAATTATTAAAATTTAAGGAGTCACCTGTTTTTCACATTACTATTCGCGGGCGATTTTACTTATCTAAAGCGACAGATTACCAATATCTTTTATAGTAGATTGTGTGTGACATGCCTTTATGTGTTTTAATAATTTTATTTAAAAAATCATGTTTTTTTCACAAACTTCTCTATTTCTAAATCCTGATTCCATTGGAAATGCCATCCCTACCCATAACGTCAATAAGAATAAATGAGAAAGTTTAGGGTAGTTCACTTTCTCTTTATTAGAATTTATGTTTAGTTTGAAGATTCATTTTAAAAAGTATGTTACGCAAAATTTAGGCTATAAGATTTATTTATTTTTAATTTTGGGCTACATTTTGTACAAATATTACTTAGGCTATATTACACAACTTTCATCGATGTTTGAGTTTGATCCAGTTTAACTATGAATCTTGTAATCTCAGGCTGATATTGCATTCCCCTGCTTCTATCATCATTATCATTATGGATTTGGCTGCTCAGAGACAAGAGGTACACTACTAACTATTGACTACTAATCGTATTTAAAGACTCTAAATTAATTTAAAAGAACATTAGCTAATTGCATTTTATCTGTACAAAAGAATTTAAACTTTAGATTTAGATTTAAAAATACTTTTCTGCTTATGGCTTATAATGAACCCCCATTTACTATCCAGACGGGACTTGAATAGATTTGTATGTAAGATAATGACCACTGTATACGATTACATTACAAGACAAAACCTTCCTCTCCCCAAAACATTACATCATTGAAAAACGTTTAAAAAGTTAAAACTTTCATTTACATAAAATCTTTCTAAAACACCCATACACTCGTATCATTACACTACTATATATTCCCATATTGTAACAATCTAATTTTCATCCAACAACAGGTGGGAATATGGCTTGAAGACCTGTTTGCAGATGAGGTCATTCCTGAGTTTGAGTTAAATGTCAAGACCATTCAACAGCTTCATGACATTTTGTTATTCAATAAAAAACAGGACAAAATGACTCAGTTGGTGGTGGATGATCTTCAACAAAAGGCTGATGAATACAATGCAGAATGTTAGTTTACAATCTTGTCTGTTTACTTTTTAAAAATATTATTGATTTTATTGTAATACAAATAATGTAGAAATTATAAATCCTGCACAATAAATTTTGTAAGAAATTACTATTTTAAACTTTTTTTTTGTACTAGAAATTTTTCATTGATATGGTATCACATTGACACTTTTTCTATTTGCAGCAGAGCGTTTATGTAAAATACTGTGTCGATTAAATCTTTCCCAAAACAATTTGTCCCAGTCTGGTTTGAACAGTCTGAGAAGTTTAGCAAAACTGGGAACCTTACTTGATATCAAGGATGCGTCTGATACTTGGTAGGCACAAGGCTATTTTGCAAGTTTAATCATTGTAATAGTCTTCTACAACAGAAAATTAAAATCGACATATTATTTATTGTTATAAGTATAGTTTGAAAACCTATCATATTGGTAAAGGTTAAAGTAAGTAAGGTACGATTTTGTTTTCATCTATAGTTAGCATATTTTCATTATGAATATTTGCAGCATAAAATATTAACAATCTTATGAGGTAATTCCAAAAAACCAATTTAAATTAGTACTTTTTTTTTAACAAAGTCTATTTTTAATGTTTTTATTTGTTAAGATAAGGTGGCTGGATTAATTCACCTTTTTGTTAAATATTGCATTGAGCCTATTTTAATCATTCTTTTTTATTAGCTATTTCCTAGCTTTACAACATCTTGATATGGAATTGGAACAAGTTGGTCAGAAGAAACAGTCAGAAGCAGATTTACTGCAGCAGGTCACAGCAAAGTCACAAGCAGCTCTACTTAAGTGTAGTGCCCTGAAAAAGTAAATAAATAAAGCTGCATTCATTCACATACCTGAGAGTTAATCAACTCAGCTTTAAAAAATACTGTATGAAAAAGAAATGATTTTGTGTAATTTTACTAAAAATTTTCAACACTTTTTTTATCATCAGAACTTTGGATGGTATCAAACAAAATGCATCCCAGGAACAGCCGGTCAATGATAAAAGAAAAAATGACACAGTTTTTCTTCACAGTAAAGCAAAAAACTATGGAAAGGATATCACTAAATTACAAGTATTTAACATTTTTAACCAGTTTTATGATTTTGTAATGCTAGCAAAAAGTTATGTCCCTTGTGTAAGTTCAGTGCAAATGTATAGAAATTCTTAACTGCGTACAATGTACTGCAACTTTTTACTTCAGATGTTTGTTGTCTGCCTGTACTTATGTCTGTCAGTTAATTTCCTAAATTATTTTCTTCGCAGACACAGTTAGCAAAATCAAGGACAGACAAATCCATCTTTCATGAGGCTTTAGTAAAAAAATCTGAGGTATGTTGAGAATTTACTGGTCAAAAACCCTTTTACTGTTGCTATTACATTCCAGTACATTTCTTCAGAAGACCTGTGTAGATTTAGCCAATTTGAACTTGTTGATTTCTCACTTAAATTTAGAAGTATCAAGTTTTGTTTGTAATTTTGAAGTTGTCCAAACAAAACAAACATTCATTTAAACTGTCAACCTTTCATCATCATTTCCTTTTCAAATTTTCTCTTAAGCAGGCATAACTGTCTCCCGCAATTCTTAAGACCATAACATGATTTCTCATACCCAATCTTCCCATTTATTAGACCCATTAGCTTCCATCAAGCTTTTACTTTATCCTCTGGTGCAACTCCCCATCTTTTTGGTCATGTGGGCAGTTTGGTTTGGCACGACCTACTGTCTTAAGCCCTGGTACTAACTTCTTGTACCGCAGTGCCATGCTTTTATTCTAACTATCCCAGGCAGAACACTTGGATGCAGTTGTAGTATTAGATGTTTTTTACTTTTGTATTGTTTTTCATTCTAGTTCCTGAAGTCTTTACAAGACAAACTGGCACCTTTACGAGCAGAGCTGGAATCATATTCCAGTTTACCACCTGTAAGTTATTTATTTTGTACTAATATCTGTGTTATAAGAGTAACAAAAATACAGCTGAAATTATAATTCTAGTTTACCACCTATAACTATAAATGATTCAAACTTAAACTTTAATCACTGTCTAAATACTAAAAAAATTACTGCCTTCTACTGTCTTCCTCATTTGTAGAATACATGTGCATGTAACGATTATATTTTAAAATATTTTTCTTTATTTGATAAATTGTTTTTCATAGGATCTGAGTGAAACAAAAATTAAAGTAGAGCAACAAAGAAGAGAACTGGTATGATTATTACTTTTAATTTAGACAGTATCTTATTGTTTCTTAAGTAAATTTTGTTAAATAAATGAAAAGATCAGTGAAAAAGTATTACAATTTTAAATTCAGCAAAATAACAAAACACCCAATCCTGTTTACTGTAACCCTTTAATCATATCATTGCTCAAAACAACACTTGAACTTTAACCTTTCTCAGATAACAGGATACATCTAAAAATAAATTGATTAATTAAAATTTAAAATATTTTTTTCTCCAGGCAAAATTAGAGAAGCAAGTTTCTGAGTGCATTGACATTTCATTATTGTAAGAAAATTAACAATTGCTGTCATCAAACTAATTCGCAAAAAATTGGGCATATTGTGCAAAATGTGGATTGATACACCATTCATCTTGAATAAAATGACTTTTGGAAATCTTTGATCTGTGTGATCATAGAGAACATGTTTATCTCTGGCAGTTGTGTTTTATAATATTTAAACCGTATGGTACTTTCATAGCAAGTGCTGGTGTTTAGTTTAAGCAAAGTTTATATTTTTAAGCCAATCGACTTTATATGTGAGTGCTTCTCATCAAAAGATATGAAATATAAATTAACAGTTGTTGTACAGATATTATGACTTTAAAACTAATATGACTACTGTTGTTAAAATTCTTCGATGCCATTTTATATGCATGGTCACATTTATGTAATATTCCTGCTATGATTTGTATTTGTACATTTTTAAAAATGGAACAATAAATATTTTTTAATCTCTTCGTTCTGATACCTAAATTCATATTTTAAGTGCAACTTCATTTCACACACTGGTCTTATGAGAGTCATTAGATGTGAGTTAGACAAAACAAACTTTATCCCAAGTCGCATGTGAGGACTAGCAATGACTCTCCATGTGTGGTATGTTTCTTGTCAAATCACATCTTCTGCTGCCTTAGTTTCCTATTTTCTGTAAGTGAACTTTATTTTTTTCCAATAATCCCTCTTGAAGCTTTTATTCAATCACACTTGATCAGACAGGGTGGGCATGTGAAAGAAATATGTTACCCAAAAAGACCAAGACTGTCTAGAAAGTAGCTTAATCTATTTAATATTTTGGATTTCATTAATAAAAATAGAGCTGTTTGTTAATCTCATGTCTACTTGATGTTGGGAACCAATAGTTTTTCTTAATTCATCTAGCTCATCTTTAGTAATATAGCTTGTGGATAATAAGTCTTGTTTGGCCTGTTATATAGTTGAAACATTGCTCCCTTGGTTTTAAATGGTTAACAGGTTTTTTTTAATGTTAGTAAACAGATTTGCTGTTACCATCATCTTTGCAGAAAAAAGTTGTAATTTGCATAATCTTCATCACTTAGTAATTTTCCATATTTTTTTGATGAGTTAAATATTGGGATATTATTTTAAGTAAAAGATCCTCACTCTATTCCTACCCCCCCCCCCCCCCCCCCTCCGTCCTTCTCCCTCACTCCAATGCAGCGCTTAACATGGGATAATATTGCCAATATGAGGTCATTCATAAATGGCGTACCCGACACCCATTCCTCAGAAGACTCATTCATAATTCATAGTCATACTACTATAAACTAGATCTAAATCTATAATAGTCTATATGGACGGCAACAAGAAATTATATTTATATTATAATCATTTCTAATATGACGACCTGATTAGTCGAGTTTATAGCTCTAGCTCTGGAATTAAACTACTACAAAATTAATATAACATAATAGTCATAATAGGCCTAGATCTAGTCATGATGAAAATAAAACTAACAGAATTAGGGCCTAACAGATATTAGTTTTTTTTTAATGGATCTAGATTCTAGATCTATCTAGAATAGATATAGATCTAGATTTAAATAATGAGAAAAAAATAATGAGCCGACTAGAGCTCTTTACTCCGGAAATAAACTTCCTATGCAGTTCCTGTCTAAATTTCTAGTATCCCGAGACTAAATGTAACAAAGTTGTTATGAGAAAATGTTTGAACAGTTGTGATTTGTTGCTAAAATTAAATTTTAATTTTTTACCAGTCTCCTATGTATTTAAAAATTGGCATTCTAGATCTACAAAGGATATTTAAATATGACAATGTTCAAGGATAGCTTTTGGGTGAGTGGTTAGCTAGAAAATGGAAGTTTTTCAACTTACGTTTTTTTCTCTTGGTTCTTCTGCTGAGTTCATCCTCGGGCTTCCCATCCTCTGTTGTTAGTCTTATAAATTGTACATTTAAAAAGTGCTGTCTATTTACTATTAGGTAGATTTATATCTAGCAATCTAGACTAATTAGTAAGCTAATTTTGGTTGAGTGATTAGGCCTATACTACTATTAGTAGGGTTGTCGGTATCGGCCGAGATCGCGGTAAAAACATGACCCGAAATCGCCCATTACTTTCTGATACCGGGCGCACGAGATTTGGTTTTGCATACTAATAAGTTTTTAATTTATGGTAATTAATTAAGTTTAAAAGGTCATTTCCTAATGTTAAATGAAAAGTAGAATGGTTTTCCCATTGTTTTGATGGCTTAGCGATCTGATTGCACGCTGTCTCTGCTTTGGTCTTCCCCCTGTATGAAGGCTAGTTTCAAATACGTTGGAATCACGATTTTTTAAAAGGTTATTCTAGATGAGTGAAGATTACTGAGCAGACATATCTTATATATGTGGAAATGATATTTGTTTTTGGATATTTTGACTCTGACATTAGATATACTCGTTTAGAGGTGGTCACTGTATGTAGGTCGCGTTGCCACCATTGTTATATTTTTTCATCCCGATCTTCCGGCCTTTAAGTTTGATCAACTAACAACAGCATTCTTATGGAATGTGCAAACAAATCTCCTAATTTTTTATCTCAAAATATATTTACATACCCATCTTTAATTTTTTCAGCTCTAGTTCTAGTTTTGCAGAATGTTTTTCCTAAAATCCAATTTTGTCAGACTAGACTGACAAGAGTCAGACCTAGATCTAGGTTACCTGTCTGTTGCTATACAAACATTGTGCTAACTGTAATTTTAAGTATTCAAGTTCTACTTACCCTTAGATATAGTTATATGCTGAAAATCAGAATCCATACACACACAATTCACACATAAAAACATTGATCTGATAACTTCATTTCACTTATTACAAAATGGCTTATATGGGCTCTACTTCACCTGCCCAAAATAACAAGGCAGTTACATACACATTACAGTGTTCAAGTCATTTAGATTTCTGACTATGTAGTTCTTTCATTCACTGTATTTATATAAAATATTGCTTTAGAAACATTTTCATATTTGCGCAGCAGTTTTATAACAAATTGGCTTAAAGATGGACTCTACTTCACCTGCCCAAAATAATGAGGCAATTATAATATTATATGCACATAACAGTGTTCAAGTCATTTACTTTAGATTTCAAACTTTGTAGTTCTTTCATTTGCTGTATTTATATAAAATATGGCTTTAGAAACATTTTCATATTTGCGCAGCACACAGTTTTTTGGGGTTATGGGAGGAAGCCAACACAAAAATATAAGTTCTGTATTATTTTTATTCATTTTAACAGCATTTACAAGTTCTATATATCATTCTAGCTAAACTCTGCAAATATGAACACAATACAACTGCAATTAAAATAACTATGCTCAATTTATTCAGGTATACCATGACTTGTCACAATTGGCCAATGCAAAAGTAAGGGGATTCCACCCCTCACAAAAAAATTCGCAAAAAAAAAAACTATTTGAGCTAGACAGAAAATCTTTTTTGTTTTGTTTTCATTTTGTTGAGCTCTACAAGAATATGTAATTTTTATTTTTATATGATGATTAGTGCTTTTTTACCAAAATCCCTACACTATACTTACTAGTCAAAGTTACTACTTAGACTACTCACTCTCCACTCTATACTACTTACTACTTGAACTTGATTAGGACCTAGACTAGATCTAGAAGTCCTAGATTCTAGATGATCTAGATCTAGTCTAGATCTAAGTCTTAGGCCTTAGGTTAAGAAGTTTAGTGTTTAGGCTAAAGTTTAAGACTTAAGTATTAAGTAATAAGTAAGAGTAAGACGATTAAGAATCCTCTTATGTCTTATAGTTATTCTTAATCTTACTACTGACACTACTGTCTAATAGTCAAACTAATAGTAATAGAATAGACTCAACAAAGAGTAATAATAATAATCCTAAGTCCTAAATTAATAGCCTACAGTTTAAATTGGTAAAATGTAAAGTTTGTAGGCCTAAAAGTAAAAAAAAGCCCTAAAGCCTACCATTTTATAGTATAGTATTTTTCCATACCATTTTCACCAATACATTTATTTACCTAGGCAAGGCCTAGAGCCTAGTGCTTAATGTTAAATAATAGCCTAATATTCCTAATAATAATAAAATGTATTAGGATTAAATAGTAGGCTAATACTGGCTAATAGCATAATAATAGTAATAAAATAGCCCTACATAGGTAATCTATCGTTTTAGGTACGTAAAATTGTGTGAAGCTAGTAATGTGAAAGAAAGGTGATTCATAAATATGGCCTAAATACAAATTAATTGTTATATCAGATTATGATTTATAATAGAGAAGATGTAGGCCTAACAATAATTAATAGGCCTATTTATAACAATTTAACATCCTCACTAAGAACCAGGAACCAAAATGGACCTTAATTTTTTAAGCCTTTTATCAAACATTCCTTAGTTGTTTTAAAAGTCAGTTATATCATTATCATATTCGCTGGTTATAAATAGATGACTAAGCCTCAACCAGTCATGTCATGACTATATATTGATCTTATTTACATTTTAAAATATAAGTAAGCTCTATTTAAAGGTTAATGCTTTTTAAATAATACAAATTTTGGTTTATTTTATTGGGTGACTTACTTTGTTATAGAAACCAAGTACACATACACTTTTTTCCCCTCTCTTCTGTGTTAATGCTAAATGTGTTGTTTAAATATTTCATTTAGTCCTGTTTGTTGATTAAAACCTACCTGCTTCGAAATTATATATTTTATGCTTTCTTCATTCTTAATTTGCAGAATGGTTCTCGACCCAATTTGCAGGTATATTTATTGTTGCATGATTATGCTGTTTATGTAGTATGCAATTTAGTTTAGTTTTTAAATATTCTGATTTTGAATTAACATTACCAGCTATAGAGCTATAGAAGAAATGAATAATTAACTTATCCTAGTCTCTAAAAGCACTTGAGTATCTGAAATATTTGCTGTTTTTTTTTCTTGTTGTTGTTATTGTTGTCTCAGTTTGTTTTATCCTCAAAACTGTTTGTAGAAATTATGCACCCTTTAAATTTTTAAATCCTGGAATGTATTGTGCAAGTGCATGTTAGTGAGCACACATTATTTTGTTGTTTAGAAAATCTATTTTCTTTCATCAAAAGACTTTCTCGTAATAAAATTAAATGGTGTTTAGGCATTGGTATTTGAGATACGTAATAATATGCTTGTATAAAGACTCTTTGAATATACATCAAGATTCACACTTCTATAATTTATTTTAAACATTTTTTGTTGTCTTTTATCTAGGACACATAAACCATTCCAATTAGGCCTAAGTCTTTGTAATTAAAAACATCCTTTTGTAAGCTTAATAAATATGCTTAATTTAATATTGTAATTAGAGTATAAGGTTGCATGCATATTTGATTATTTAATTTCAGTTACAAATACTTTATGTAGAACCATGAATGTCTTATTGAAAAAAAGATGTGCATGTTTAAAATCTGTTGTCAAA